TAAATGCATCGCATCGGTCATGCATCGAAGAACGGTGACCGTTACCGCAAACCAACCATCGATAAAAAGGCACATGCAAGTCTCGCTGATAGAGAGAGAGTAGAAAAAGAGAGGATCCACAAATAGCCCCGTGGCACATACTAATAAAAATACTCGATTCCATTCTTGAACCCAAGGCGCTCTAGGGTCTATGACTTTCCACGAAAAGAAGTCTGTCAATCCTCCTCCTCGACTACGACTACTACAAATGTTGTAGTCATTTGAATTATCATCTTCTTTTTCCTCCTCTTCTATGTTATCTTGCTCATCCTCGTCCTCGTCCATGTCATCGTCACTTCGATCACTATAATTATTTGATAGTTCAAGTTCATGATGACTAGCCATTAATTTTTTTTTTTGTGCTAGTTTTTTTCTTTTATGGATTTGGGATATGGAGATAAAAAAAAATGAAGAGAATATATGCACTGATTTTTTTTGGAGTTAGGAGGGGATTATATAATTTGAAACAATTAATAATAACAAGAAGAGGACATAAATAATTGTAGATATGGGAAGAGCATAACCTGACAATAATGATGGGAACTTCCATTACTGCCCTTATGTAATTACTAGGATATATACCAATATATTAGTTTTAAAAAATGTAATCAAACAAAATTGGTTCTTGAATTTTTTTGAAATTACTACTAATCGTTTTATAATTAAGTAGTTTTATTTTATTTTTGCGGAAGATGAAAAAGCACTTTCTAACGGTGTTTGGTTGGAAATACTATGTTCTTCTAATCAATATAAATGAATTATTAAGATATGATAAATTCCATATTTAAAGACAATAATTAAAAGACAACTTTGTCATTATTACTATTTAGTCTTTCCAAAATCTTCTTAAAAGTATAATACTCATTATTTGAGATTTAAAAATAGTTTAAAATCATATTAAATAAAACTAATTCTTAAAAAAAAAAAAAGTTGATACATTTTTACAGTTTAAGTGATTTATTTATATCGAAATAGAAGGAATATTATATTTACCATCTAAGAGTAGTGATGACTATTTGATGGGGACATTAACATGGGACCAAATAAATATTTTTTTGTAAGCTAATGTATGTAATGTACGCACGCAAGAGCTATTTAACTTTTTGGAGAAAAAAAGGCATACTTTGTGTAACTTTAGTTTGTCATTTAAATCCTTTGTAACTTTTACTTTTCCTCCAAATATCTTTTAATAACTTCAACTTTTCCATTTAATGTCAATTAATTATTCCAGTCCTAATAAAGTGATAATGTAACACTTTGTGTCTCACACTTATTTCTATAACAATGTGTCTCACACTTATTTCTATAACAATTTGAACTTTGGACTACATCATGTATAATCTCTCTTGTTTCCCTCCCCTCCCCTTCACATATATACATAAATGTAATGTTTTATAATTTTTTTATCGTCAAAACGTTATATATATCATTAAAAAAATAAGGTAAAATTATTATTTTTTTCAGTACCAATAAATTATATAACATTTTTTATTTTTTGGTCAGTCACAAAAAGAATAGTACATTTCTATGTTCAGTAACAGTTTAAATATAAAATGCTCATTTTAGTCCTTATGAGATATTTCTTGCCACATAAAATCTATGACCTATTTTAGAGACCAATTTTTTTTTTAATTCAACTTTATACTCAATCTAACTATATCATATAAACTGAAACGGAAGGAACCTTTTTTATATCATGTTAACAATATGGATACTATAAAAATTATTGAGAGTGTTATTATACATACTTTAAATTCAAAAAGTAAAAAAATTGGGGGGTAATTTGGGAATAAGTGAAGAGAGACAAAGAGAAGTTGAGTCGGGCAGGTTGGCAAAGGGGCAAAGGTCATATTCACGAATAAGTTTGAACAACACAGGTTCGTCGCACTTTCCCTCATTTTGTTTGTTTCTTAAGTCAATTATTATACCAAATATATAGATATGAAGAATAAGTTAACCAGAATTAAAATCGAAACAAAACAATAATATTACTGAGTGCGATTTTATTCGTTTTACTAAGATTACATTTTTAGTAACGTATTTTTTCGAACTAGTTTGATTTGAACTTGATCTCTGTGAAAAGATTTTTGAATCTTCTTAAAGTATTTGATTATCTCTTGATCTCTTTATCAATATAATTAAGAATTTATGAGATATTCAAGATACTCTTTAAAGAAATATAATATCTGATCCTTTATATAGGCATATATATAATATTCTTGTAAAGTCTCATAAATTTCAATGTCTAGGTTAAATCTAATGGTCTGAAATGCCAGATATGTCAAATGTATAAAATATCTCTTAATTATATGATTTAAATAGGAAAAATTACGCAGATAAACAAATAACTACTAGTTAATTAGCTAACACAACTGTAGTTTGAATTAACTATCACTTGCAGCCTTTCAGCTATAATTATGTGCGTCTCTCTCCTATCTTATGCATATACATATACAATTATATGACGAATATACAAATACAATTCGCAACTCTCCACTGTCTGCTCTCCCTTGCTTGTTTCTCTCCTTCTTCTCCCAATATCGCTCGTCTCTCTCCTTTCTTCTCCCAATCTCGCTCTCTTAATATATAAATATATATGTATATCAGCTACATGTATACAATTATCTGATACCTCTCTCAATTATATGTCCTCTCTCGCTCGCCTCGTTTATCGGTAAACAAATAATTTTTTATAAAAAGAACACATCTTATATCATGAATAGAATCACTTTCTTAAACCAAAAATAAAGAATAATAGAAGTACTTACTAAGGAAACATAATTTACGTATAGAGCCGTCATGAACTTTAACACATCATCTCAATGTTCCCATATTTCTTATCCTTCATTCTTGTATGAAATATATAAAAATATTATCTGTTTAAATTTTTTTAATTGATTAAATAAAAATAAATATTTAATTTTAATATAAATGAATAAATAAAATTGGAAGAGAAGTGTATCAAATAATCACGAGTTTAATGTAACTATATTTGTCTACTTCCATTTGTTTGTTTCACCTCACAAATATCAAGAATTTAATCAAAAGCTCCTTTTGTTTCTCAAAATGAATTCTCATGTGACATAAAGTTTGAGATGAGTTGCAGTAGGTCCTAAAGAAACTAAAAATAAAATAAAATTATACACGTGATTTTGATACCTATGGTCCAAAGCAATTAGTACTTATTTTTTTACCTCTTCTTATAAGCTCATGTCTTTTTGTTTTTTTCGGTAATCTGAAGTCATAATCTTAGGATTTGAAGAAAAAAGGCTTATCATGGAGCAATTTTTCCTGGTCACCGTTTTTGAACTTGTTTTGACATTTAACCCTTTGCGGTATTGGGGTGATTCAGTGGTTTGGGCTTAAAATTTTCATGTCGGAGGTGTCAAGTTTGAAATTTCTTGCTAGCGGTGTTTCTTTTGAGTCGAGCTTGTCTCACCAGACTTACTTAGTACGGATTACCTCTCCTGTGTGGTTTGAGGGATATTGCATAGAAGTAAAATTTTACATGTGTGCACCAAAAGGATAGCGACTATGGATTTTCCTTGTCATAATAAAAAGTTATTTAGGTAGAGCAAATTTAAAAGCTAAGATAACAAATAAATTCATTTTTACCCTATTCAAGCAACAAAACTTTTCGATAGAAACCCTGTTATTATACGATGAGTAAGGTGCGGAGCTATACTTTAAACACAGATATGCTATATTCCAACCTCCCTGCTGCTTTGTATAGTCTCATTAGAAGGCAGTACATATTCTAGGAAATCAATTGAACCCTATTTTAACTTAATTCTGCCTCCGGTCCAAACATGTCCTATTTGTGATCCTGGTCCATCTTAACGGAAACATATATATATACCATGCAAGTTTTTTTTTTATGTTCGATATTTATTTTGAAATTCGATTAAATCTAAATTCGCATAAGAAAAATTTTATATTGAGACTCGAGATAAAACACTCTCTAACAAATATATAGTAGTACTTCAATCCTGGTATTTTTCTCCAAGGTTTCTTCTACCTAACACAGTCTAACTAAACAAGGGAGATATAGATGGAGCCTGTTTCAATGTATTTAACTAAATATGGGCGTATCTAGGGTTGAGAGTGTTCATCTAAACTTCCTTAATAAAAACATACATTATATACATATATATATATATATATATTATAATTTTTATTTTTTCAATATATAGAAAAAGATTTTGAATCCGTTGAACACAAAATTAGAACTCAATGATTTAGGGGGTTTAAAATCCACCTTGAGATTCCAAGTTCAAATCCCAAATGATGAAAATTCTTGATCTGCTACTGAAACGAAACCCAATATTTTGACATAAAACATATATATATATATATATATATATATATATATATATATATATATGAAAAACCACTAAAATTTCAAGAGATAAATGATTTGTTGATACATCTGCAATATGCAACTGTAGAGTGGGGTCTGAGTGTGATGAAATTCAGCAGAGGACCACATTAAGTTATTTTGTATCACACATCTGTTTCACAAGTAGCTTTGCTCATTTTATAATGTATATGCTACTCTTAGGCCTGTGTTAGTCAAATATACATGTAGTCCACTCGTAGCAATTTTAATGACACTCTTGTTATAAATCATAAATTTCAAAAGTTCTATTTTTATGTGAGGATAAAAGTAGTTAAATTTGTAGTAAACGAATGTGACGGAGGCTAACATTATTTGTGGCATATATTAACAGAAATTGTACCCTTTCTTAAACTTTTGCTGTTCCCTGGGATTCTTTCCTGCTAAAGCAAGATTTCTATATTTATTGACTTGCATATGGTCCCTCCTATTTACAGCTCTAAATGGAATATGCTTTGCACGAGAGGCAAATCTACTGTGGGTTATGTGGATTTAACTGAATATCTTGTTTATCGCTCAACTAAATACGTAAATCTGCAGAAATATTTTAAGTTATCCAACACTATCAATACAGAACAAGAATTAGATATCAGATGCAGATAAATTCCTGCCAATGATCAAGATGTTTATAGGTTTTACTACCGCCACCACCAACAAAGTAAAATTGGTTTTACTACAGACAGATTAATGCTGATTCGCCAGACATCACTATGAACTTCCCAAAAAAATAAAAAGATCTCCGAATTCACTGACTACCAAGCTTGATGATCACTGCGAAAAACTACAATCTTATATTCAGACCATCATAGAATTGCCAACAGAGTGACTTAGTCCTGCACTTTATCTGGAATAGAACGCCTCCATATGCCAGCCAAGGCACTGCCAAATATCGAATGGCAAACACTAGAAACGGCACATGGTACTGCAGTAAGTGGATTACCAAAGTGCTGAGTGGCTAGAACTACTCCAAGAACCGAGTTCTGCAAAACAAACAAAGTCATGATATATCAAGTGTTATCTTTGCCATTTATGAAGATTTTTTTCAGTTATATAATGAGGATCGGAAGTAAACAAATATTTTCTTACCTGCATTCCGACTTCAATAGATATTGTCCTTGAGGAGGACATATCAACTCCAAGCATCCTTGCGAGTACATAGCCAAAGAAGAAGCCAGACGCATGAAGAAGAGCAGCAGCTATGACAACCTGTTGTCCTGACATAAGGATTGCAGAAGAACTCTGTGCAATTGCATTTCCACAAAGAACAGCAACAGTTGCTACAGCAATAGGTGGCATCAATGGAGACACGATTTTGACTAGGCCTTTGAAATACTGATTCAGAAATGCACCAGCTAATACAGGAAGAAGCACCACCTGATATTTTGGCAGGGTTTATTGTTTATTATGACAAGGTATACAATACTGATGAGCCAATAATCAGATGAAGAAATGGACCTGTAAAGTAGACATGAAAAGTCCAGCTGCATCTACTGCAACAAATTGCCCTGCAAGTTTCTCTGTTAGAAAAGGGGTCATCACCTGCATGGATAACAGGAAAGGCCAATCAACTTAAGGAAGCTCTCACACCATCAAATATGACGACAGTATCTCCAATGATATTAAGGGAGGCATGTGATACATTCAATCAACAATAAATAAGTTGATTGCTGTCTGGAGGTAAATTAGTAGGACCTGTTTGCACAACTATTCTGATGGTAGGGTTTTATTAAATTTTTTAAATGATTGTAACTAGCACTGAAGCCTTCAGGCCCTTCACTACACATATTTCAAATTCATCCCGTCTATATCTGGTGTACACCTTGACGATTTATCTTTGTCTCTGACTATTACAACAATTGACTGCTTTGATATTCTTATTGTGCTTGCATTGCTCTTAGGGAAAATAGACCAACTCCTCCCAATGCTTACATGCTTTTGAAAATCGAGATGATTCCTAAACTCAAAGTAACTTGAAGAAAGAAGCTCCCCAAGTTTGTTTTAATTATTCTGTCAACAATAAATTTATTTGTTGTCCAGAAGCTTTCATCTCAAGAGTTCTTATTTCAATTTTCCGACTCTCATCTTGTTAACTGACTTAACCGCAATACTTATCCAAAGACAGGACAAGTTGAAAGAGCTTCGGTAGTTACACTTTCTGTCTCGCGTAAGAAAGAGAGTTTAGAGTAAAAACTATTTCGTGAAAGTTTCTTTTAGGAACAAACTGTTTTAGGTCAATTGTTCTCAGGATGCATAAAACACACGACACACTATGCACAGTCTTATATTGGATAAGATATCCGTCAACCAAATAATGAAATAAAAGCAACCAACCACGGCAGATAGGGTACTTGCAGCAGTCATCAAAACTGAAAGCGCCACATTTCCACTGCAACAAAATGAAGTATCAACGCCTAGTAGGTATTATAATGAAAATGATAATATTGAATAATGATGATATTAAAGGATCTTCATAACGTCAACCTACCGTGCAATGTAAGTGACAATGTTACTTGCCGTCCCTGCAGAGTAATGCATGAAATGCTTAGTGAATGCCTATTAAGTAGAAGGCCTGGAAAGGAGTTTTTAGCTGAGCATACCTCCAGGACAGCAGCCAACCAATATCAAGCCTGCTGCATAATGGGATGGCAAATTTAATAGCTTGCTAACAAAATATCCCGATAAAGGCATCACCTATACCAGAAAACAGCCTGTTAACTCATCTATGCCAAAGAATTGGGCACGACATACAGCTGAAAACAACTGATTTCTCATTTATGAAAAATTAAAGAAAGAAAATATCCCTCCTGTTCTGCCACAATTAAAAGTCTAAAATGCAGGAGGCTACAAATATACCCTGCAAATGAATCATCCACTGTTCAATATAAGCAGCATACATAAAAGACAAATCTTTCAGTGAGATAATGTGACATCTATATATCCTTACCTTACTCATTGTCACTTCTTGGTCAAAGCTAAATGATTGAATATTTTCATTCCAGATTGCAGGGATTATTTGTATATGAAATTCAACCTTATATTGTTTTACTCGCTATATTCGTTGTTGTAAAGAAATGGATTTCGAGCCTAACTCAATCTCGGGTGCATTGACTAAGTATATGTAAAGGAGATCACTCATTCCCTTTTCATCCCACCTCATCCCATCAAATGCAGATCAAAAGTCAACTCATATGGGGAGGATTATCTAAGTCTATATGTGTTCCATTCAACAATTGTCATTTCATAAACAATGTCCCTAAGAAAATCAACATGCTACTATGGAGAGTAAGGAGAAAAGATACCGAATACTGAAGGATGAATCCGCAGAACAGCTCTTTAGGCATCGCTAAAGCACCACGAAGGTCATCGAAAGTAAGAGTCATTCCCATACCAAGCATAGTGAGTGTAATGCCCATCACAGTCCATTGAGGTTTGACCCAATTGTACGAGCTAGGTTTAAGCAGCCCAATCAAGCAACCCAAAGCTACCCACAAGGGAAACAAAACAGAAATCGTTTCCCCAACACTTTGGATCCAATCCCCAAAGCTTTTATTCTTGTTGTCATCACCATCAGCAGTAATGGCAGTTGACGAATTTGAACACAGAAGCTGTCCTCTGGATATTAATGAAATGGGTTTTCGATACAGAACAAGATTTTGTGATTGAAAAGGCAAATGGGTGCTTGAAAAACAAAGTGATTTAGTTGGTGAAGAAGAAAAGGGGTAATCTTTGGAGGTGTCATATTGATTATTGTGTATAAATCTTCTTCTTCTTGTGCAATTGATGTAACAGCTAGTTGGTGCTGACACAAGAGCCTGCATTTTTTCTCCTAGCTGATGAATATTCCAGCAATAATGCCACTGTTCCGGTTGTCACTCATCGACCATCGTTATACGCTAATCGGGGTGAAGCGGATGTAGAATAAGTTTGAAAATTTTTACAATTTAAAATTTAAATTGGGCTCATTCATCTTGACACTTTGTTTTGGAATTGATTGAATTAACAAAAATATAAGCTCTTTCTTATTTGATTGTTATCGAAGGAAATATTTGGATAATATTGTATTTGAAATTTTTCTATCGTAGTTTTGATATTCAATTTTTAAAATAATCATATCATAATTATATTAATTTAGTTTGGTATGATGAACCGGTAACCATTGTAGTAGTATGACTTTGACAATTCAAAAAAAGTTTGCAATTGTTTCATATTAAAACATTACACATGTAGAAATAGGTATTCAAAAAAAAGAACAAACAACCCCTTTAGTTATCAATTGCGTTTGAAATACATTTCAATCAAAATAGAATAGTCACAACTTCAACTTTAAACATTTAGCTTATACTCCTTCATTTCATATGAAGTTAATTTTTGAGGCATTTTTTATTTTTTCAAATTGACTTAATTGTTCAATTTTCAAAATTATTTTTAGAGTGTTCTTTCAATTTTACTCTTCATCAATTAATATTGTAATTAGTGATTAATTAAAGTTTCGTTATTTTAATCATAAATTTGACAATAATTAATAAAGGTAAAAATGTAAAACTAAATTAAATTTATGTTTTAATAGACTTTTCTTAAAGGATGTGAAACACCTCAAAAATTAAATTTTATATGAAAGATATTGCATACATAATTCACTTTTAATACATATTATAGATTTATCATAATGTTGCTATAAATGATAATAACAAAAAAATATCACTAAAATCAGTAATTATTTTTAAAAATATATTAATTTATAATTTTTTTCCAAAAAAATACTATACTTGAAGTTTAGCATAATTTTCTTTGCCATCTAATTTTTCACGAACAAAATTTACAACTATTAACTTCTGCACCATGCTCCGATTATTTCAACCCCACCCCAATAACTCTTAAATGATTTACTCCATAGACAATAAACTTTACTATGGACCTTATACGCGTGGGCGCTTCATCGGTATATAATATTAACAACTTAGCTAATTTTAACGTAATATCAAATTAAACTAACTCATTTAAATTAAAACGGAAGACATTATACATGTATCATCTTACATGTAAAAAGTTTCACGTGAATTTGAGCTTACAAGGATTTGATAATATTCTTCAGTATGAAGTAACCTTCAGCATTTCCCCAAGTCATCACAAACACTTGTAACTCTTTTAGAGTATGTGACACTGACAATATTCCCTTATTTTCTGCGTCACATACCCTAACGCATGACACGTATATATAAACCGCCTTTTACTATAAATATTCATAAAATAAAAACATAAGTTTTTGAAAACATAAAGCTTAAATCCCATTACAAATCTCTTTATGTTTTGGGCGGTGGTGTCAGAAAAATATTTTCTCTACACAAAAAAAAAAAAAACTTTTTAGTTTTCCACCAATATTTCACTAGCAGATCTTTGCTTGTGTGTTTTAATTTGGTGGTGAAATAATTAACAAAAAAGAAAAATTTAAAGGATGAAGATTCAGTGTAATGCATGTGAGGTAGCAGAGGCAAAAGTATTGTGTTGTGCTGATGAAGCAGCACTTTGTTGGTATTGTGATGATAAAGTTCATGCTGCAAATAAGCTTGCTAATAAGCATCAAAGAGTAGCTCTTTCTGCTTCATCTTCACCCATGCCAAAGTGTGATATATGCCAAGTAAACTTTCTTTTATGTTTTATCTGGTTTTGCTTTAATACGAAATTCAACAAAGTACATTTTTTTTTTTAATCTTAGATCAAAGATATGCTGCTATTTCAAAAATACATATTTCATTTTTGTTGACTATTGGGAAAAGTAGATTCTTACTATTGTTTATTTTTCATATTTTACTAAAAAGCTCCTTATGTATTCAAGATTTGAATATATGTTGCAGTGGAAAGTATTATACTTGAAGGTGTCATACAATGTCTAAATAAAAACAGATAAAGGAGATGTTTAGTACTAATTAAACATTCAAATCAAAAGATTGAAATTAAATAGAGGTACAAATTATGATCGTTGAACTTCCCTGTGCACCAATAGTGCTCAAGGATTTTGAATGACCTCACATGTGATTTTGCTTAGAACAAAGATTTGACCTGTGCTTGTGAATTTTTAGCTACTTATCAGATGTAAGATAGTAGTTGTTTTTTCTTAATAGTACTATTTTGTACAGGAAACTGTTGGCTTTTTCTTTTGCCTTGAGGATAGGGCTTTGCTGTGCAGAAAATGCGACATTTCTATTCACACGGTCAATGCTTATGTCTCATCTCACCAGAGGTTCTTGCTTACTGGAGTTAAAGTAGGACTTGAACCTCTCGGTCCTTGTGCATCAGCATCCTCACGAAAGTCGCATGAGCAACGATCTCCTCCAATTCTCAAGATTACACCTCCATCTGAAGGTGTATTACCTGTCCATACTAGTGGGAATGGGAATTTTGCACCTAGTAGACTTCCAATCGTTGGAAACATTCCACAATGCCAATTTGATCAGTATCTTGGAATGCCTGATTTCAATCAGAATTACGGATACATGGATTATGGACAATCGAAGGTTACCTTTTCCTGTATTCTCTGTTCACAATTTCCGGTTATGTTTTGCCTTTATTATATAACATGACATGGTATTGTGAATGGCTTCTCCTGCTGGTGTATGCTTCTGTTACGCGCATCAGGATGGGTTCTGTTGGTGTGTTATTCGTGCTGCGGTTGTATTCATTCTTGTGGGAAGTATTGACCAAACCAAGTCATTATATAAAGCAATTCACCAAAATAATATTTTGTTTTAAAATTTTACAGAATTAGTGTTAACGTATTTCACAGTAACGTTTTAGGTTATATTTTATTTTTTAAAAGCTGACGGCGTTAGATTGATATACGTTACTTATAGTCGTATGGCTGTCAAAAATCATATCTACGCTGTAGGAAATTGAGAGAATTTAAAATGTTGTCTTGTCGAATCAACATGTTTTGCTATATCAAACGGAATGGGCTGTGGTACCTAATTTAGTTTCCCTTCATTAAAATCTCTCAGGCAGGCAACGGAAAGGTTGGAGAATCAGCTAGTTCTCCGTTCTTAAGAGATGTTGACGCTGAAGTTGCAGGTGACGAGTGCTTTAGCACCGAGGTGCCAGATACATGTTGGGCAGTCCCACAAATTCCTTCGTCACCAACAGCTTCTGGACTGAACTGGCCGACGAAAAGTATCCAGAATCCGTTTGATGCTGCATTGTTGGAATCTGATGCTAGTTACTTCCCTTTGCAGAACATTCAAGATCAACAATCAAATGGTTCCGGTACCAAAAGGAGTAGGCGTTTCTAGCATATCCTCCTTAAGTTTCGTAAGTTAGGTAGTGAATAAAGTGTTTCATGCACTTTTGTTAGATTTAGATATTACCGGCAAGTGTTATTTTACGTCTAATCCCCTTTTTAAGTTGTCTTCCGCGGTGCTATAGACGATATCCTGATAACTGCTCCCAGTGGTCGTGCAAAGAGTTGGCATACACAAGACACCAGTGGGCTTTTCGGGGTAACTGGAAACCAGCACAACATCTTTATACTCCTCTCTGATTGACGCCGGTGGTTGCTCAGACTTCAAGGTACAAACAAAGTGGAGGTACTGTCTGGTTTTTTCGATCACGTGAACGTTGGAGTTGGTCCAGTTTTTTAATACCTGTTATATAGCTAAATAAGTTTATGATATCGTTCAAATGTTACAAGTTTTGTATCTGGATAGTTTATAGCTCCATAGTTCATGTTCACGTTCGATGTAACAGAATAATGCAACGGATAAAGCTGTGTGTGTCTAGTTGTATATAAATAACAGACACTAACCTGCTTACGAATCATTATACCTGTTCTGCTTCTCATCGTTCTTTATATGCGTTCGGAATTTAATGTACTTCATTTTTTGGTGTAAATGATGAAGTAGACTAAGGTGTAGGTGGAGCTGGTTGGTTATCACTGTCAGAACGACTCATTTTCAATGTGAAATGAGCCTGAGTAGATAGATAACTCATTTTGTCGATTTTCATTTTTTATAGTCTATATTTTTGTGACTTGAAATTTTAACATCATTTTTTTGCCGAAAAAATTTATGGACATTTGTGAAGACATTAGATATGGAATCAATTGAACACCACGGCTAAAACAATTCATTTTCAAGGTCAAATGAGTCACAATACAGGTAGATTTTACTTTGTGGTCGATTTTCGTGTGTTACAATGTATGAATTTATGGTAATTCGAAATTTCGACGTCACTTTTGTAAAAACTTTACATGGAGTCGTTAAGACCCAAGTAAAAACGACCTATTTTAAGGTCAAACGAGCCTATAAATTTTTCATTTTGTCGATTTTCATTCGGACAAAAAAAGAGAAGAAAGAGAGAAAACGGAAATGTTTGAGTTGCAGCGGAATAGTATATCAATCGAAGTTAAAAATAAAAACCTAATAACATGCTTTTTGTCGCCTTTGCTTCGCTTCACCTGTTCAAGCGGTCTCTTTAAAACATAAAAGCATCGTGCTTGTGCCACGCCTCGCACTTTTTGTCGCGTTTCATAACACTAGATTAGAGCAAATAGAGGTCCTAAGATTGAATATTATTGCCACTCATATCAAAAAGAATTTTTATATGCTTGGCTCGTAAAAGAAGTCAGGTCACACTGAGAGAAGATGATGTGTTGATAATATAATTAAATAATAAAAAGTGTATTTTTTCTAACAATTTAAAATTTTAGATAAGATAGCCACACGTAGTTGTCACTAATTCTGTCTTTTAGTGGCGATTATATTTGACACTAATTCTAAGTTTTAGTGGCGACATATTAGGCCTTTAGTGGTAATTAAGTTTGCCACTAGTTCAATCTTTTTAGTGGCGACATACTAGACTTTTAGCGGCGACAAAACTTGCACTAATTCTACCTTTTAGTAGCAACATATTAGACTTTTAGCGCCGATAAAACTTGCCAATGATTCCAACTTAGTGGTGACCAAGCTTGCCACTAATTCTCTCTTTTAGTGGTGACATATAAGGTAAAGGCGACTAGTAAAAGTGATTTAGTGGCGTCATTTAGCACTTTTAGCGGCGACTATAATTGCCAGGAGACATATTAGCCTTTTAGCAGCGACCATAATGACACTAAATATGACTTCTAGTGGCGACATATTAGACTTTTAGCGGCGACTATAAGTGGCAGTAAAAGCCTCTTTTAGTGGCAACATATTACACTTTTAACGATAACTATAATTGCCTCTAAAAGAGACTTTTAGTGGCAACATATTACACTTTTAACGATGACTATAATTGCCACTAAAAGAGACTTTTAGTGGCGACTATTAAGTGGATTTTAGTGGCGATATATTAGCCTTATAGTGGCAACATATTAGACTTCTAACGATGACTATAATTGCCACTAAAAGAGACTTTTAGTGTAACATATTCGACTTTAGCGGCGACTACAAATGTTACTAAAAGTGACTATTAGTGGCGACATATTAGCCTTTTAGCGCAACTATAATTGCCACTAAAGGAGTCCTTTAGTTGCAACTATAATTGCCACTAGAAGTGTTTTAGTGGCGACATACTAGCCTTAGCGGCGACTATAATTGCCACTAAAAGTTGGTTTTATTGGTGACATATTAGACTTTTAGTGGTGACTAAGCTTGCTACTAAATCTATCTTTTAGTGGCATCTTATAAGACTTCTAGCGGCGACTGAAAATGCCAATAAAAGTGACTTATTAGGCTTTTAGTTAAAGTCGCTTTTAGTGGCAACACATTAGACTTTTAGCTGTGACGTTTGCCACCAAATCTATCTTTTAGTGGCATCATATTAGACTTTTAGCGGCGACTACGCTTACCACTAATTTCATCTTTTAGCGGTAAGAATGAAATAGCGAAAACAATGAAGAAGATATATTCAAAGAGATTATATTCGAGAGCATATATTAAAAGAATATAATCCAAATGGAAGAAGTAATTGATAGTTGCAAAAACAATAAAGAAGAATACATTAAAATAAATTATTCGAGAGCATATACTAAAAGAATATATCAAATCAATTCTTCAATAAATAAGAATCTTACTACTCATGTGTTTCATAATCAATACCAATATAGGTGTGATTAAGAAATCTATTATAAAGATATTATTTAATTAATAAATCGATAACTTTTTTAAAATGGTAAAGTTATAGTTTAGAGCCTTCTTTTCTACACAATAAACTTCCTTTTCCAAGACATCAGCATCCTCCTTAAAAGTGATATTCATGTAAAAAATTTAATAAGAGTTTAGAGTTAAAAAGATAGCTATGCATTCTATTGGCCCTCACTGCCATTTCGATCCATTTTCAAGGTTAAATGAGTTCCGAAGCGCACATATCCCCCATTTCGATGATTTTCGTGTGTTATAGCAAACCATTTTTTGGGGGTGGGTGGGGGTAGGTGGTGTTGTGGGGTTTAAAAAATAATTTAAATTTCATTTTGGTAGTAATACTTTAATCATTAATTTTAATTAATATTAATAGTTTATTATTTAATTTCAAGTCAAGGTGAAATATTTTATTCATGTGGAATGACATGTGTCAAGTTTTTCTCAAATAAAAGAGAGAGTGCATTACACACCACACTTATCTCAATAGAAAATGATAGTTTAAGTATGAAACTCATACTCTCAATGATTTAGGTATGCAACTAGAAAAAAGGATAATTTAAATATGTTTTGACACTTAACTCTTTTTATAATTGTGGTAAACGAAATTACTTGGAAATTTTTTTAAAAAAATAAAACGCTAGGTTGCTAGTAAGTAGCATTTTATAGAAAAAGAATTTACGGGAAAGGCAATTCCCAAATTGCTAGCGAGTAGGGATGACAATGAGGCGGGTGGGGCGGAGCAAGGGGGTGGATTAAAAATGAAAAAAGTTATTATTTGGGGTGGGACAGATAAATTTCTTATTAAGTTCAACCCGCTCCGTTTCTGCCTCGTACCGCCCCATTGTCATCCTTAACCACGAATTCTATATAAAAAAAAATTAAATACAAATTAAATGTTATAGCTATAGTTTATTCTATTTGTAATTCGCTGCAAACATCTCATATTTTTGCTATCTAATTCGGTATACAATTAGCTATTTCGTGATATAATTAATCATTTTATACATTTCGATATAAAATGTATTTATATTTGTATAGAGCGAGAAAAAAAATATATACAAATATAAATACATATATTTGTGTCTTATATACTTACAATTATACAAATAATGATCTTATTATAAATTAAGATATATAAATGAATTTATGTAAAACTAAATAATTTATATATAATTGAATGTATCTATCGAAATATACAAATTAAAATTTTTATAGCAAACATAAATTTTATTATGCAACACAATTATGCTAATTATAGTTATAATATATAAATATAATTTTTGTATTTGCTCTATGTGCGAAAATTACGTTATAATTTATGTACTATTAAAGTATATAATATATTATAAGTACATGTTTTTGTTTTTTTGGAAGCACTTGTATTTTTATATATTTATATTTATGATCACCCAAAGATATGATATATTTCTAAATCTTATCAACCCCTCAAAGTCTTGTACTTCCAGCCTATCAAAATCAGCCCAGCTCACCTAATAATATGACAATATCTTTTATGACAATATCTTTGCAGATCTTATATATATATATATATATATATATATTTTTTATATATATATTTTTTTATTTAATTTCTTCATAAAACTGGAAGGACGACCATAACTCATGATTCATGTTATGAATTTTGCAAGACAGTATTGTTAAGACTTTCTTAAATGTTTAATTATTTACTTATTTTAGTTTTCATGTATCGTCTAATTTAAGTCATGTAGCCATATAAAAAAGTTTATTTGGAGATTAAAAATGATTTTTACATACTAGTTAAGCTCAGAGTGTACGCTCAGGTGTAACAAAGCAATTTCAATAGAATAAGTTCTATGACTAATTTAATCGAAAGCACACTGTTTGTTTTAATAGTCAACATATCATTAATGTGGTGTATTAGTAGATTTTAAATTTAATGTCTTGTCTTATTCATGTAAGGCGATTTAGGCTATAAATCACCGAGATTTAAACTTATTATCATGATGCATCAAAATTTAAATACAATGTTGTATTCCCTCTTGATGCGACTAAAGTCGACATAAATTCATTGTCTTACTCTCTTGATAATATTGAATATGAACCTATCGTCTTAACGTGTGATTGGATTTGAATTCATCATCAATCATATCAAGAACAAAGTTAATTTTGCCTCTGGAGTGGTGACAGTCTAAACGAGACATGCAGTTTAATTATAAATAATTCACCAAAGCAATCAAAACTTAATGATTTTGTAATTGGCTGATCAATACAACTTAAGCCTTCATGAAAGGCATCAGTCACTTATAATAATCATGCAACATATAGCTTTGATAATATAACATATATGCTTGAATCAATGTGTTTCTATCAAGCCAATTAGAACCATAAATTAATTTATATGATGTATGTGTCTAATTTATTACCCATTAATTTTTCAATTTAATTTAACACTTCTGCAAAAAGATGAGTACAATAATACATACGAGAATCAAACATATTAACTCAATTCAATAAGTTAGATATTCGTCCTGATAACGTATTATGAAATTATATAAAATAATGAGAATAAAGTTGGGAGAATAGAGAAAACTTTTGAATTTTTTTTCCACATAAATCTGATTTACAGTGAAGGAAATCCATTTATTTATAGGGAAAAACTTAGTTGATTTCTAAATAGAGTTCCAACTTTTCTCTAACATACTCCACAATAGACATTTGTATAAAGAAATAAAGTTGTTTGCAAGATTGTTTTTATTTTTGTGGAATTAGAAAAATTTTCAGTAAAAACTTCCAATATTAAAATCAAATTGAATAGAAGTATTTGTATGAAGCAATAGAGATTTGAAATGCTTTGAATTGATATTTTACAAATTGATTGATCAATGATTAATATTTATCATAAGCAAAACTTATGGTGCAAATATTACAAAAAGAAAATAATAACATTGTGAAAAATATATCCCACTTATGAAAATATATAAAGATCAGTGAACCATTTTCAAATATATCAACATTTTATATATTTCTCGAGCACGAAATGTTCTAACTTCTGCCATAAAATTTCTTAGAATTCAACTTTCTCAATTGGATTGTAACACATTTATGATGTATGAACATTTGAAACAACTTATAAAATAATATATTAAAGTAGTTTACTGAAAAATAGTATAAATAAAAAATAAAATACGTGATGATCCTATATGATCATGTTTCTCTTTTTTTGCACTTTAATTTCTTATTTTTTAAAATTCTACTAAATTCTTTGATATGATTTCATTGGTTTATACTATGCAATTCAATCAATTATTAATAGCTTTACCTACCGTGCATTTTTAAATGAAAAAGACGTGGAAATTCGGAATCAAATCTTTAATGGTTTCTGTGATCATTGTCCATGGATCGTCTTTCACGTGGTTTCAACTTTCATGGTTGGCGTAACAGTATATTACAAGTAAAATTCAACTCAAATATTCATGGGTTGTTTTTCACGTGTATTTTAGATCTTCACATCCGATGTGCGTTAGGTATGAGCATTAAATAATTGAGATTGATTATTTTTATTATTTGTAATAAATATGCAATTCAAATTTAATAAAAGATAAAATATCATATTAGATAAATATTAACTTGAAGGAAAATATTATTATTTAAGCATGAATTAATATATTTAAAAATATATATTAGATATAATAATTGAACTCTCTAAATAATTATAAAAACAGATATCGATTAAAAAATATTGTTGTGATAAAATGTAATCATAAACATTTGAATTTAACATAAATTAATTTATTAAATGAACATATCCAATAAACTAAAACAATTAACTCAATATGGTTCTGATTAACACGCAAAAAATAGAGTATGTGCTTTTTTTTCTGAAAAAATAAAAAATGAAAAGTGTGCAACCACATGTATTATTTTTAAAAAGGAAGAAGTGCTTTTTTTAAAAATAAAAAATAAAAAATAAAAGTGTGCAACCACATGTATTATTTTTAAAAAGGAAAAAAGTAAGAAGCTACATAGAACAATTTGAACACTAAGTTCCTTTCTTCATCGAGCTCTAAGCGATCGTTCGAACATATCGATAAGATTTTTAAAATATATGTAGTCTTTTAAGATAACGGTAAAAATATTTTTAATCTCAAAATGTAATAAAAAATATAAATAGTGTATTTTGTATTTTGCATAATTCAGCAATAATTGAATAGTGGACAAATAAAAAATTTGTTCCCTCAATGAATGCATGTATTATTAAAAAATTGATATATGAACTTTATATGTAGTTGATATATGAAACACATCACATGCTCAATTGTACCTTTTAGTTCATTTCTCTTACTATTATACATATTTGCTAATTTCTTCTTCTATTATAGCAAAAATGGAAATAGGTTTTGTTAACGAAAATGATTGCATAAAAGTTGAAATCTTATGCAAAAAGCTCATAAAGCCATCTTCACCTACACCCTCTCAGAATCAACGTTACAAGCTCTCTTTCTTTGATCAAATTGCTGAGAGAGAGCACATTCCTGTTGTTCTTTTCTATCCTTATAATAATATTAATAGCCACACTATCGATGAACGTCTTGAGAAATCCCTTTCTGATGTATTAACTCATGTTTATCCAGCAGCAGGAAGGTATGACGACAACGCTGAATGTTCGATTCTCTGTCTTGATCAAGGTGTTTCCTATACCAAAGCCAAGGTCAATTGTAAGCTTGGTAATTTCTTAGAGAAAACACGCAAGGATTTGAGTGTTGCAACTTTATTTGGGCCACATGAAAATAAGAACATGGATCAAAATAATTTTATGGTATCGCCAATTGTGATTATTCAAGTAACTAAATTTGAATGTGGTGGCCTAGCTTTATCATTCAGTGTTTCACACCCTGCAATGGATGGTTTCACAGGTTTGCAATTTCTATTTGGTTGGGGAAAAGTGTGTAGATTGGGAACTCCCATCGATAAGATTCATTTCCTAAGCTTCAATTTAGGTAATATTTTCCCAACAAGAGATACATCAGCTCTTTTCAACTCAGCCGACGTAGTAAATAGAGAAGAAAATATTGTTGTTAAGAGATTCGTTGTTCGTGAAGCTGCTCTATCAAGGCTCAAAAAACAATGCATTGATGAATCAGGCGGAGCTTTGACTTTTCAACCTTCAAGGGTTGAAATAGTTACAGCAATCCTATGGAGGGCTTTTATCCGCGCTTCAGCAGCTAGAAATGGGTTTGTTAGACCTTCTCTAATGGACTTCCCATTGAATTTACGCTCTAAATCATCTTTACCTCAAGTAAAAACCTCTATGGGAAATTTCAGAATCGATGTTCCAATAAAATTCATTCCAGGGGAGACTAAGATGGAATTACACAACTTCATAACATTAATTAGAAATACTATGAATAAAGTTGTTGCTTCATTTGCCAAACCTTCACCAGATGAAATAGTGTCAACATTGGTGAATATATATAATCAAAGTTTTACATCACCAGAATGGGGAGGTAATAATGAAATTGACAAAGTGGCATGTTCAAGTTTATGCAAGTTCCCTTTGCAGGATATCGATTTTGGTTTGGGAAAACCATCGTTAGTATATTTTGGTTTGAAAGATATGGAAATATTTTGGTTATATGATACAGATTGTCACACTAGTGAAATTGGTGTGCAATTGGACTTGAAGGAAAGTACCATGCAATTATTTGAGTGTGACAACGATATCAAAGCTCTCATGTTTATACGCGATGCAAAACTTTGATAACATTTCATTTTAATTTTTTCATTATGTACTTGTTTTATTTGTAATATGTTGTTATAATTATTTTCTTCTTGTCTCTATGATTTTTTTTTCTTTTCCGAATAAAAGGTAAAACATTTAGAATTTTTTATGCTTCATAACTCTTAGCTCAGGTTTGTTACCTTTACTTTAACATCCTAATACCCTTATTAGTTTGATGGAACTTCTAATTTTCTTAGTTTGGCTTTGGATTTCATTATAGATTTAAATAGTTTGATCCATGATGATTGATTAAAAGGTCAATAAGGAAGTAAAATCATTTCCTCGTCTTAAAATTGTCGTAGGATGCTATGTCATATTTCAAATCACGATTTTATTATTGAATGTCTGAATGATTCCTTATTAATACAAAAGTACAAACTGAACAAATAACGATCACCAACACAGTAATGGAAATTATAGTTTTGCATCACGTATAAAGATAAGATCTTTGATATCATCCTCACGATCAAATAACTGCATGCATCTTTCCTTCAAGTCCACTTGCACAACAATTTCAGGCCCAATATCATACAACCAAAACATTTGTGTATCTTTCATACCAAAAAATATTAAGTTTGGTTTTCCCAAACCAAAATCAGAATCGTGCACAGGAAACTTACATATACTTGTACACATAACTTTGTCAACTTCATCGTTACCTCCCCATTCTGGTGATCGAAAACTTACATTATATGAATCAACCAACGTTGCCACTATTTCATCTGGTGAATTAGCTTTTTTACATGAAGCAACAATTTTATTCACCGCATTCCTAATTAACATTATGAAATCATGCAATTCCATTTTGTTCTCTCCTGGTATAAATTTAACCGGAACTCCAATCATAAAATTCCCATAGGAGTTTTTCACTTGAGGTAAAAATGTTATTTTGGAGCGCATATTCATGGGAAAATCTAGTAAAGAAGGCCTTAAATACCCGTTTATAATTGCTGTAGCGCGGATAAAAGCCCTCCATAAAATTGCTGTAATAATCTCAACCCTCGAAGGTTGAAAAGTACTGAAAGTACATTTTTTTCTTAGCCTTGACATAACATCCTCATGGATGACAATTCTCTTAACAACAATGTCTTGTTGTATAATTGGAGTGGGGGTTGACTTGAAAATTCCTGTTATATCTCTTGTTGGAAAAATATCACCCATATTAAAGCTTAAAATATTAATCTTGTCGATGGGAGTCCCTATTCTACACACTTTTGCCCACTCAGAAATAAATTGAAAATCTGAGAACCCATCCATTGCAGGATGTGAAGTACTGATTGATATGGCAACCCCACCACATTCAAACTCAGTTACTTGTATAGTAACAATTGGTGAAACCATGAAATTAGTTTCATCGATATTCTTATTTACATGTGGACTAAATAAAGCCGCATGACCTAAGTCATTGCGCGCTTTATTTAAGAAATTATCAAGCGTACCATTGGTCTTGGCTTTGGTATAGAAAACACCTTGATCAACACAAAGAATAGAACAATATTTGTCTTTCTCATTGTACCTTCCTCCTGCGGGATAAACATGAGTTAATATCTTTGAAAGGGATTGCTCTAGTCGTTCATCCATGTCGATATTGTTATAATTATGAAAGAAAAAAACCATAGAAACATGTTCTTTTTCAGATATTTGGTCGAAGAAAGAGAGCTTGTAATGTTGAAGGTGAGGAGGAGTAGGTAAAAATGGCTTAATGAGCTTTGTGCATAAGATTTTAATTTCCATTTTTGCTAACACAACTCAACTTAGGCTACAATTAAATATGTGACAACCTCCCAACTATATATAGGCAAAAAAAAATTATATATAAGCTCAACGTTATACTCTACGTCCTATATTTAATAATATACAAACCTTTCATATATATCTTTTTTGAGATATTGATTTAGAATATTTAATATATCATACACCTAATTAACAATATTATAAAAAAAAAAAAAAACTTCGTCTTGAATTCAAACACCATATTTATCAAAAGATATCTTAAAACTAGACCCAAAATTTTACATTTAAGTTATTCAACACGTGACCGGTCATTTTGCATTAATACCCACTCGAAATAAAATTCAATTGCGAAAATTCAAACTTTGAGCTTAAACAATGACTGGACACCAACTTTTACTTATAATTATATCAGAGTTTTAATATAGGTTAGATTGAATTTGATAGATCTTTTTATTAGTTTGTCCTACAATAGAAGTTAAATTAGTTTATAGAAAAAATAGTGTGTAAGAAGAAAATATTCAATAAAACAATAAGAAAAAATGGGCATAATATAATGTGTCTCTTAACTTACCTTATTTTACATTTATACGTGCACAAATAAATATTTAAACTTGTATAGTTGAATAATTAGCAGCGAAAATCTTAACTAAATTTTGTATTAAAAAGATGAGAGACTCTGGTAACCAGACACTAATAGAATATCAAGAACCAACCAAAAATTTTTATGTATCTTTCAAATATGTCAACTTGTTAATTATTGTACTTTATAGTGTTTTTATGTCATTTATATATATATATATATATATATATATATATATATATATCACTGATGAAATTTTAAGAATCAAATAAATTATTTATATGTCTTTTAAAATAAATATTTTCAGTGTTAATAATCATGATTTATATAATTTTTATGTAATAATAAAATAAGATAAATAAATTAAAATGAAGAAAATATATACCTAGAAGATTCCTGCTTCTAGAGTTCTCTACAATAGAAAATAGAAATTTATGTCACAATTTAAAATATTTTAAGTTATTAATTATGTTCTTTTATATTTTTGCTGTTAGCTTATTGATCAATATTGTCAGAGTTGATGATAGTCTAATATATATATAATCCACCTAATTAAATAATTTAAAGTATTCCTAGATATTTTAAAATCCTTTTGAAAGACACATTATAATATTATATGGTAACTTGTTATCAAAAATTGACAATTAAAACCGCAAACAAGTTAGATTACCCTTTGCCTCTTAATTTTGTCTAAATAATTATAAGTTTTTTGTCAAAGTGGCGTTGATTTTTATGTATGTTTTCCTTATTACTATATTAAAAACTCATCGTCTTAGAGCCTGTTTGGCTCAGCTTAAAAGCTGGTCAAACTGACTTAAAAGCTGGTTCTTGACTGATTTAACTGTTTGGCAATACCCAAAATAGCTTATTTTAAGTTAAAAAAACTTATTTTAAGCCAAAGTTAAAAGCTGGGGTAGGGGTGTTTTTTTTCTTTTTTTAGCTTATAAGCTGTTTTAAGTTGACCACATTTTTATGTTTTTTCCCTTAATATTTTTACTCATATAACCCTAACATCTCTTTCTTCTATTTTTCCCTTTTCACGTTTGGCATAACAACTTCAGCACTTTTATCCAAACGCATAATTACTTATTTTAAAAATAAGTTTCAGCACTTTCAAAAGTACTTTTTTAAAGCTACTTTTATTAAGCCCATCCAAACGAGCCTTTAGAATTATGTAAATATTTATAAGACTTGTTACACATTTTTCTCAGCTTTCTCTATTCCAACTTGAAGAAAGATCGAAAAATTGACTAAGATTTCTTTCCTAATACTCCAATTAAATTATGTATCCCCAATTTCATATACACTGTAGTTTTATTTTTAAAAAGAGTATATGGTGGGAGGTATGTGATATGCTTTCCCTCCAATATTTGAATTGTTTTTAACTTAAAATATCTTCTAAATATTTTATATTTAATTTCAAAGTTAAAATGAAAAAAATAAATTAAAAATCATAAATTAAAATTTCAAATTTATAACTTTTGATTTATAAATAATAATTAAAAAAGTTCATTCAAACTCGCTTCTAGTCAATGGTAATTGGTTCAACTTCTAGAAGCTTCCCTCATGAAACAAATGCAAATTTTTTATTTTCTATTCAGTGTTTAGTACATGTTTTAAAGCTCCACGAATTATTTGGATTCACACTGTATAGAGCTCCATTCGAAGGAGAAAATTTTTCTACCAAAGGTATTTTCATACCATGACTCAAAAGCGAGGTCAAAGCAATTTTATCCGTTGCACAATATCCTTTAATGATAAATGCTAATCAGATACATGATCATGTATAATAGATGCAAATGTACTTATGTATATCATTCCTTATAAAAACCTCAGATACATGCATCACTTTTATGGTAGGTGTGATACACCTCAGATACATAAACTTTATATATTATAAGATCGACATATAGACGCATGTAATTAAGGAAGCAAATAAAAACGATTTACTGACGAGAAGATGAAGTTTACAACTATTCTGATTTTATGAATTCAATATTTTTGGAAATTTAATATAGCTGATACACTTGGATGCTAAAAATCTGTTAGATTAGTTAATTACTCTTTTAATTAAGAAAATCAATTACAAGTATTTAATTAAAATGAATAAAAAATGTATCTTGCCTTTTATGAGGAGTGTTAACTTTGCTATACTGAAAGTCACCTACAAAAACAAAAACCAAGATAGTATTTCCTTTTCGAAGGGAATGTTATTTCACCCAAGTCCATAATACTACGTGTAGACATTTGAAAATGCAATATAGAATCATGTGAGTTCTTATAAAATTATGTGTACTTAGAAGCTTGTGGTAATTGTATACATTTATAGATAAAATTAACATGAAGATATGTGATTTTGATTAGTGCATGCAACCTCTTACTATATTTCGTTATCTTATTTTATAAACTATGTTTTACTCGTTGATATGGTTGTATCAGGAGTGAGAAAATTTTGATAGTTTTCATAGTTAATCAAATTTTCATTATTATTGAGAAAAAATAAAACTAAAGAAACTTAAATTGCATATCCCAATTACTTGTACATAGCTTAACTAATTTACCGATATTTTGACTATCTTGTTAGAGCTGTTTTAAAAATATCAATAGATGCATATTATATTTTTAGAGAATTCGATATGAATGAGGAATCGAATATAAAGACTTTACGCAACTTAGCTTGTTAGTACAAATTAGCATGCATAACGGACCATTTTGTCTCTAAAAGCTTAAGACGTTAGGGATAATATATTTTTATTATTTAATTGTATTCTCAACATGTAGGTCTAATACATAAATATGAGTCTTAGCTTGACTTCATTTGATAATTACGCCCTCCAACTTTGTGAGTTCACCAGCGGCTTTACACTTGTATAAAATTGAACAAATAAACACATGTACATGCCTTTCGTGACATAATATACGTAGGATAGAAATTGTCATGTAGGAAAAATATGTTTATTTGTTCAATTTCATACAAGTGTAAGGGTTTAGTTGTGTACACCCAACGTTAAATGTCATACTTATCAATGAAAACCAATTTAAGGGTCATGCTTATGTATAATGCGTTATTTCCTCATGAACATAACACGAGAAAAATCTTCTTCTTTTTTTAAATAATGTTGGACGGTGAGATTCAATCTAAGAACTCTATCCACTCTAATATCATATTGAAATGTGTGATCATATCATTTTACGAGCTCATACAATTAAAAAAAATATTATTATTTAATTATATTCTCAACACATAAAAAATTCGATAGCTTATAAAACACCTAATCCAACATATCGTGCAAGATATGTTTGTCAGAGAAATTCGTTGAGACTCTTTTTGATTTGTTTGGTGCCATAATCATGAAAATTAGAAAACAAAAAACCAAAAGGAGAAGAAATAATTAATTACTATACTTGCACCAAACAATTTTTTTCTTTTTTTTTTTAAAAAAAAACAAAATCCATAAACCAATATTAGATACTATGAACCTAAATGCCCATAGACATGAGGAATTAAAAAAAGGGGGCCCTTGTGGGTTGGCATAAGATCAAAGAGTAAGACTAAGTTGACTACAAGAAGCTTCTCATCTTCTACCTCTTTATTACTTTTATGACTTATATAGATTTAGGGTGTATTTGGTGGAAAATATTTTCAAGAAAAATAAACAATGTTCTTATTTTATTTTTTTTGTTTTTGATAAATAAAAAACATTTATATATAATGTATTCAAATTAAACACCATGGGGTTGGAACTAGGTAGGAATGTGGGATACATAAAAATAAAAACACTATAAAGCACTATTTTATACTCCTTGCTTTTAATTAAAGTGATGCTTTAATTCGTAATTGTAATTAGGAGTACTTTTACTAACTTGACACTAATTAAATGTGTTAAGGAAAGAAATATTTTACACCCTCTGTCCCATCTTACACGTAAAGTTAAAGGTGTATAAAATTATATAAAAATAAATTTAGGGTAATATGATTTTAGTTTAATATCGACGTGTCTCTAAAATTTCGATCATAATCTATGAAGATTCTTGTGCTTTACTCCCTTATTTTCAAACAAAATCAAAAAGCTAAAACACCAATTATTTAAAAATGAAGGAGAGCATAGTATTTTCGTTAATTAATAGCTTTAAATTAACATTACCTCGTTCTTATGAGCAACAACAATTGATAATTCAAATAATTAAAGCTATTAATATTTCAGTTTACTGGTGTAATTTCTTACTTGTTTTTTTATTAGATATGTTAAAAAAAATATTATTTTGAGTAACTTAAAAGTATTATTTTATTTTATTTTAAAAAAAAAGTTTTTTAAAAAGTATTTAAGACCCATGAAGCATGAAAAATTGAAATAAATTTTGACCAACCGACGGTATTTTATTTTGACCATCACTTTCTACTAATGGTCTCAGTTTGTCTGTGCCCTTTAATCCACAATTCCAAAATATTTAGTCATTTTCTATATTTAAAACATGCTTATTTGCCATTTGACATAACTTGTTGTAGGTAGGGTACAAAACAAATGCTTTGGTACAAAGTAGATTGTGGTATTTTATTCATGTTCCTTTTTAGCTTATGTTCACTTCATATTTAAATAAAATTGTAAAGTCTAATGAACATTTTAAATTTCATATTTTGACGAAACCACCGCGTTATAGGATAACATAAGTATTTAGGAGTACAACTCTTGCTTTTCTATGTTCCACTTCATGAATATAATATATAAACTTTGACACATTTAATTAAACAATTCATGCTCCTACTAAGTTGAATTTTACATGCAATGATTAGCAGGATAATTGTCTCAATTCATATGACATAGATCAAATTCCGATAGCCAAATAAGAAATTGTTTTACCATGATTTGTTCCTTTTTTTTTAATATTTAATTTTTTAATTATTGGACTTATAATATTTTTGGCAGTTTCCAAATAAATAATTGAGTATTTTTCAAAAAAAAAAACTTAAAAATTGTTATATATATAAAGTCACAATCAAAATAAATAACTTTTCGCTGGATATATTATTATTATTTAATCAAAATAAAGAACTTTTGATTTTCCAAATTGAAACTATGTCATATAAGTGGTAGAGCAAAAAAATTTCACTAAAAAGTAAAAAAACTTAAGAAGTAAATAAATGAACTACCCGAATGACTGTTCCACGTATATTATATATCGACTAACTTTTTAGTCGAATGAACCTCTTAGCCAAAGCGTACTATGCCCCTAGTCAAATAAATTGGGACATGGGAGTATTTTATGAGTACAATTTCTTCTCTTTTACAGTGCTATCTTTATTTATTATTTTATTATGTTATAGAAATGTTTTATTTGTCTGTGGGTGGTGCACTTTTTGGTTGAGTCCATGCTCTTTCCTTTCTAATTTTTTTAATATATTTTTTTAATTTATGTGTGGGGTTCTTTTCTTCTTTCCCAGTAGCTTCAGCACTTAAAATACTTATATTTACCCACCGTCCCTTCCCCTTTTTATATCCCCACACGCACGGCCACTGGATAACAATTTTCTTAAACACAAACTTAAAAACACTCATACACCATTTCATTTTCATTGTTCGTTGGCTGATTAATTTAATTTCATATCGAGTAGGCCAATTAAAACGAAAAACTCTCCCTTCTCAGACTTGAAGTCAGAGACTTCTGATTAAGGATCGAGAGATATCAACGTTCATAGCAAAAACACGTTAAATTGGTGCTCTGCCTTGTTTTTTTTGTGTCCAATTATGGCTTTCCTTAGGTGCTTTGGGTACAACGTAAGGCGCGGTGGACTTACTGATGTTCGTGTATTTGCAGAAGGTGATAAAGAAGATGAATCAGATAACACAATGATTGCTGATGCAACGAGATATACAAGCCAAGAGTTGAAGAAATTCACCGCAAATTTCTCCAATTCCAATTTAATTGCCTGTGGTGGATTTAGCAGAGTTTATTTAGCGAACTTCCCTGATTTATCTCCCAGGGCTGTAAAAATCATGGACAGCAGCAGCGAGCGTCTCAATGGAATGTACAAGCAAGAATTAGATATCTTGATTCAAATCAAACACGACAACATAGTTAAACTTTTTGATCACTGTGAAGATAATGAATTCGGAAACATGCTCGTGTTTGAGTATGTCTCAAATGGTACTCTACAGGACAAACTCCACGAAAACAGAGATAGGACAATTCTTTCGTGGAGAAACCGAATGGGTGTGGCATTTCAACTTGCTCAAGCTATTGAGTATCTACATGAAAAATGTGCTTTACAAATTGTGCATAGTGATATCAAGTCCTCTAATATACTGTTAGACGATCAATTCAATTGCAAGCTTTGTGATTTTGGATCCGCGAAAATTGGATTTTCTTCTTCTATTTCACCACCAACGAAGAATCGAGTGATACTTGGTTCTCCAGGTTATACTGATCCTCACTACTTGAGAACCGGCATTGCCTCCAAGAAAAACGACATATATAGCTTTGGAGTCATTATTTTAGAACTCATTTCAGGGGTTGAGGCCTTTTCGTCATGTAACGGGGAGAGGTTAATATCGAAAGCTGCTCCGATTTTGAACGATGTGTCTAAGGTAGCGGAAATGATGGATCCACGCCTCGATAGGAACTACGTATTGGAGGAAGCTAAGGCCATGGTTTCACTTGCAGCATTATGCCTAAGTGATTTCCCAGGCCTTAGACCCTCTGCATCTGAAATTTTGGAGAATATGAGAAGTAGAATATCTTCCATCTCCTTTCTATTTTCAGATGGTAAAAAGGTTTGAGCCAGGACGGAGCTAGGAAGGGTCGAGGGGTTCATCTGAATCCCCTTCAGTGAAAACTTATACCATTTATACATGATTATTTATGCGTGATACTAGTTAAAGGTTCATGTAAATTTGTATAGGGATTTGTCACAGTAGATAGTTTTGTGTCATAGCTAGGTAAAAAATTAGTTCAAGAAACTCCTTACAAATTGAGAGTTGAATATTTGAATGAGCAAATTTGATTTGCTACTCAACTATGAAAAATAGAACAAATTTGTCTTTAAATTTGGTCTCAAATGTGTCCTTATCGTTGTAGAACTTTTTCAGATTTGTTTCTCAAACTAACAGACCTCCAACATAATACTCTACTTTTTGGGAAATTAAGCGAAAACACAAAACATATACTAATTAATCAGTTAATATAGTTTTAGTTAAGTGACTTGTCCTTTTTTATACATGTACAAATACAAATTATACACATATATATAATTATATGACATATATACAAATACAATTAGTATCTATCCACTCTTGACCTTTCTCGCTCACCTCTCCCCCCTCTCTCTCAGTCTCACTCGCCCCTCTCCTCCCTCTCCCAATCTCTCTCGCAAGATATATAAATACATATGTATATCAGTATATATATATAATTATCTGATAGATGTACATATATAGTTTGCCTCTCTCCACTCTCTGTCGTCTCTCGCTCGCCTTTCTCCTCTCTCTCAACTCACTCCCCTCTCTCCTCCCTCTCTCAGTTTCGGTCGCCAGATATACAAATACATATGTATATTAGGTACATATATACAATTATTTGATAGATATAAATATACAATTCATCTCTCTCATACCTCTCCCAATTTCGCTCGACAAATATACATATACAATTTATCTTTTTTAAAGGAAAGGAAAAGAGTTTTCGAGTGTATCGTAGTACATACTCATGTTTAATTTTAACTTATTTTTTTATACAATAAAAATATTTCTTATATATATTTGCATGTATTTGTTGTTGATTATTATTATTATGTTATAATAGTTGAGTCACAAAATTCTTTTGTGTGTACATAATAGTAAGTAACCAATGATCCTAAATTTAAGCAAATAAAGAGCAGGAACCGGACATTTGAAACACGACTAAAGCGTAAATCACTTCAAATCACGTATAACAAATGAACCATAATTTTCTAAAAATCCATATTAACCCTAATTATTTATTATCCATTTTTTTCTTCACTTTCCACCCTACACTCCCAAAAACTTTCTAATATAAATCAACACCCTCTCTATCACACACATACAAATTCGAAAAAAAGAAGAAGAAGAAGAAGAAGATGGAATTCCGCCTTTGCATAATTATAATTTTGTCAATATTTATCATAATGATCGATCCATCATCATCGTTATACAATAATTTTAATATTCAACACAAGAACATGGATCAGTTATCATCGATGATGCACGTTGATATCTCACAGAGGAAGTGCAATGGTGGCGTTGTGGGAAACTGCATCGATGAGGAGGAAGAGATGATGATGGAGTCCGACATAAGTCGACGTGTGTTAGGAGGAAGAAATGGTTATGTTAGTTATGGAGCAATGTCGAGAAACAATGTTCCTTGTAATGTAAGAGGTGCTTCTTATTATAATTGTCATGCAAATCAACAGGTGAATCCTTATCGTCGTGGTTGCACTCAAATTACACGATGTGCTAGGACCAATTCTTGAATAATCTCAAAAATAACATAATGTTTGAATTGCTTAGTTAATTTTGTTGTTCCAATAGAGGAATCAGATGTAAAGTTTCATTAAAACTTGAACTATCTCAATTTTATTATTTTCTTCTTCTTGTAACATAGTTATAGTTTTCTGATTAGAAGGAGAGATTGACAATTCTTTAATTTTATTTTGTCATATAATATATTTAAAAGATATTTTGTTACATTCTATATAATTTTTTTAATTAGTTTAATTTCACAAGATTAATAAATCTCTTTTACTCTCTTCAGACCACTTTACTTGCGGTCATAGCTAAAAGTAGAAGATTGGAGACATATTAATATTATTAAGTGTGACAAATAGGATATGAATGTCAAAGTATTGCTCTTTGTCTCAGTTATTGATTTTACACGCTTTTTAACAAACAATAAGGATAATTTCATTATATCATCTTTTAAATATAATAAATATAATGTCTTTCTAATAAATATATATTATATTTTTTTTAAAAAAAACAAGCATCATCAATCTCGTACAAAACAAAAATCATAAGTAATAGTCCATAAAGATATTCCTTCTTTTATCCTTAATCAGAGGTATCAAGTACAAATTTTGTGAATGAGATAGACGCGATTTGACGCTTTCTTTAACACAAAAAAGTTAAAAAGAGTTAAACCTAGATGCATAAATAAGTTGCTATTATCATCATCAAAGTAATACTAAAACTCCAAGAAACAAACCCTAGTGGAGCACCCGATTTAGCCGGAGCCGGGGCAGGTAATAAAACCGGGTCAATGGATTCAGCAGGTGTTGGGCTCAATGATGTTTGGGCTTTAGTTTGATTGGGTGACAACACAACAATCATAAGTTTCTGGCCCTTTTCACAATTATCTTTATGTCCACTGATGAAACTAAATGTGCCTGGTCCATCAAATGTGAATCTTGAATCACCATGTTCTAATATAACAATTGGATCCTCCTTGTTGCAATTGTAGTAATCTTCTTTGTAAACAAAAAGAGCTGAATTTGAACCTAATTTATACTTGAAAACTGCAACAAAAAAGAAAAAAAAAGTCAAATCATTAAATAGACACACAAATTGATTGCACCCGAGTCAGAAATTCTAACAAGGAGATTATAAAGAAAAATATCCAAGATGTGTCACGTTGCTTAGAATTTAAACGATCAATTCAAAACAATTTCTTAATCACATTGATTTCAAACCAGCAATCTTATATAATTTTTTTTACCACATTTGTCATTACACTAAAAGTTTACTTTATGTCAAGATCTAATGATGGATAAATTCTTATAATCACACGGGTTCAATATTTATTATATATAAGTAAAAATTGTCTTGAAATAGGAGAAGAGGATTTACCAATCGTATCATTGACTTGAAAGTGATTTCGTTCAGCCCAATGATTATAAGGTTCAGAAGGATTTAAAACCCAACCACTTTCACCACCAACATAAAATGTATGATTAGCTTCACAAAATGAACCACACGTAATAAACCTCAAAAAAATCAGAAAAAAACAGATTTGAGACAACAAAAACTCCATGAATAATACTCAAATTTTAGATGGAAATAGAAGTTTGTGGTTCAATGAGTGAAAAATTAGAAGTATTTATGGAAAGTGTTAGCTGGTAATTAATTGTTGTGTTAAAAAAAATCATAGTTATAATAATTTGTCGTTTATTGATTAATAAATAAATAAACGAGTAATATTATTTTTTTCAGAAAAACGTCGATATTTGGCAAAAAATGTTTATTACACCTCTGGGTTTTGACTTTCTGTAAAGATTTAAATTACGTAGTATTTTGTTTTAATTATAAAGAACATAAAAAAAATTATGCAAGTTGATCAGAGTAAGTTATTTTAAATTGATTATGGTATTAATTATAGTTTAATGATTAAGATTACAACTATAGAACATATTATTATAGTAGTCAACACTTTTGTAACTGTCATATATTGAATAAAATGTTTTATATTTTTTTGTGTGTACTTAATTATTGAAGAAATTTGCTTCTTTTTTTAAAAAAAAAAATTATGCGTGTACTTTAAATATAGAATTTTCTTTTAAAAGATTATATTTCAATGTGTAATGCTTTAGTTTGATATTTTTGATACGTTTCTTTAAAGGTCAAAACTGTAATTTGTTATTATATTTTAGTACGTATAAATTAAAGTTGAACAAATTATGGTTACTTATTTATTATATCGCAAACTATCAAATTAATTTAGTATGATAATGGAATAGTACTTTTTGTGTTTTTTCTTGCGTTGAGGTCTATCCGGAACACCTCTCCACGTTTCAAAATAGGGATAATATTTTTGTATGCATTACCATCTTCAGACCTCATCCGGAGAATCACATTAATTATATTATTTAATGTTATCGGCAAAATTTTCGTTTACCTTCTTTAGGGTTCGCTTGAACTTGAAAATACGCCTGTTTTTTCCGCGGAACGAGCTGAATACATTGTCTACGTCTTAACGGACGTCTATGAAAAATTTTGGCCATTTCATTTCGGGAGTTCCGGATCACAAAAATTCCATGGACTATAGCACACGAAAATTGACAAAATGTGCATTTACTTGCTTAGGGGCTTGTTTGAACTTGAAAATGCGTCTGTATTCCCCGCGGGACAAACTCGATACATTACAACATCTTAACGAACGTCCATGAAAATTTTTGATCATTTTGTTTTGGAAAAGCTGGATCACAAAGATTCCATTGACGATAGCAAACGAAAATCGATAAAATATGTGTTTGTGTGCTTTGGGGCACGTTTGAACTTTAAAATGAGCCAGATTTTCTCGTAGAAAAAAATGGATACGTGCCAAAGTCTGAAAGGACATCCATGAAAATTTTTGTCTATTTCATTTTGAAAATTTCAGATCACAAAAATGTCATAGACTATAGCACACGAAAATCGACAAAAACTGTGTTTCGTGCTTGAGGCTTGTTTGAACTTGAAAATGCACACCTTTTTCCCGTGGGATGAATTTGATATATTGACAACGTCTTCACGAACATCCATGAAATTTTTTGGCCAATTCGTCTGAGGAATACTGGAATAAAAATTCCATAGACTATAGCACACGTAAATCGGCAAAATCTGCGTTTATTATTTTTGGGGCTTGTTTGAACTTTAAAAAAGAGTCTGTTTTTTTCGTGAGACAAATTAAATGCATTAATAATGTCTTAAAGGACGTCCATGAAAATTTTTGATCATTTCGTTTCGGGAATTCTGGATCACAAAAATTCCTTGGATTATAGCAAACGAAAACCAGAAAAATTATTTTACCTGCTCTGGGACTCGTTTGAACTTAAAAATGCTCTCATTTTACCCATGAAATGAACTAGATATACTGTTAACGTCTTAACGGACGTCCATGAAAATTTTCGACTTATTTCATTTATAGAATTTCGGATCATAAAATTTTCATGGACTATAGTACACGAAAATAGGTAAAATATGTGTTTACCTGCTTTGGCGCTCGTTTGAACTTGAAAATGCGCTCGTTTTTCCCGTGGGATGAATTAGATACATTGCCGACGCCTTAACAAACGTCTATAAAAATTTCGGCCATTTTGTTTTGGAAATTCGGATCACGAAAATTTAATGAACTATAGCACACAAAAATCTGCTTTTACCTGCTTTGGACTCGTTTGAACTTGAAAATGTCAGTTCTCCCTGCGTGAAGAACTGGATACAATGCCAACGTCTTAACGGACATTCATGAATTTTTTTTGCCATTTCGTTGCAAAAATTTTGGATCGCAAAAATTTTATGGACTATAACACACGAAAATCGATAAAATCTGTGTTTACCAGCTTTGGGACTCGTTTGAACTTGAAAATGCACATGCTTTCCCCGTGGGACCATTTGGATATATTGTCAATGTCTTTACGACGTCCATGAAATATTTCGACCATTTCATTTTGGAAATTCAAATCACAAAAATTTCATAAACTATATCACATGAAAATCGATAAAATCTGCGGACATCCATAAAAATTTGGACAAAAATAATGTCAAAATTTTGGATCAACAAAAAATCATGAAAGCTTACAAATCACATAAAAAATTGAAATTACATTAGATAAAACTTATGTCATAGACTCAACTCAATTACATTAAAAAAATTAATTTACATTATTCACGTTGATAACCATCTTCTAAACCAGTTGAGATACGACGAGAACTGTAACTCAATTTGCAATATATGCAAAGATGGGACAAAAAAGGAACACTAGTTATCCCTTAGGAGACAACTCAATCCCAGCCGTTAAAATAATGATGATGATTCTACAGCCCAATAATCCAGCATCTTCTATCAAAACAGTAGCTTTATGCTTCATGTTCACCATTTAAAATTTAGGAGAAGACTAATGTTAAATGATCTTTAGCTTATTTTTTTACTTTCTGCAGAACTGAAAACACCCCAACTATGTTATTTATAGATTGTATAATTGTTTTTGAATAAAGAAATACAAGTGGAGTTTTCTGGTTGTTGAATTGACTAGGGAAGGGATTCTTGGTGAACCACAAATCAACAAAACCAATGATTCTGTTTATGTTGAGCTTTCATTTTCTTTGAAGTTGATTTTTGTTGTTGAGGTTGTTGTTTTATGTTGTTTGACTTCAATTTAAGCAACCCCTTTTCTTTCTTTCTCTTAAAGTTGTCTCTTTTTTTTGGGAAATTGTAACTGTAATGGACTTTGTTTCTTCATCTGTGTTGCTCAAGAATTGCTTGGAAGTGAAGAATTTGAATTGATCTTGAATGGGTATGGCAAAAAGATTATATTTTTTGAGGTTTAAGAGGAAAAAGTATGGAGTTTTGCTTAGAGTTCTTTTTAGTTTATGGTTCATCCTTGAAGGGATTTGCCCAGTAATGGGTGTCAGGCCTCTCAGAGAAAGATACCGTTCGTGGGGAGATGAGGTTAGTATTGGAGTTACATTTTGTATCTGCACTTCCTTGTGTAATTTGTGCCTTCTAAGGATCAATTATCTGGTATTGGAGTGAAATTGGTCCAACTAGTGGAAAGAGTACAGCCTAACAGCTCAATGGAGTATGTGACAGTAAAGATTGCTACTTTAATTTTGAATTATGTATTATTTGTTGTTGCTATTGTTCTGTTCCCCAGTATTGTTACTTTACATACTTATTGTTTGTTATGCTTTACTTGAGCTGAGGGTCTACCGGATACAACCTCTTTGCCTTCACAAGGGAGTAGGGGTAAGGTTGCGTAAGATCATCCTCCCCAAACATAACTTGTGGGATTACAATGGGTTTGTTGTTATTGTATTAAAAACTGAAACTTTACTCATTCAAGTGCTCAAGTGATGAAGTGCAACTTGTGTTAGCTAGCTGGTGAAAGGAATTCCAAGCTATTTGCTTAACCTGTATCTGATAGGTTTAGTGCTTCATACTTTATACATCTTACTAAACACAAGTCAGTTTATCATGCATAAGAGCAATGATGGATTTATATTTTGGACATTGTACAATGAGGAGATATGGCAATGAAATGATATAACTAGCAAGAAATAATATGCTTTTATGTGTCCCCTTTTTTAATAAGGAACTTGCTCTTATGAATATACTTCATTATCGTGAGAAAACACTGAATAAGGTAGGATTTTCTAAGGACTGTTTCATGTTTATGCCTAGAGCCAAGATATCTGTCACTCCAATCAATGCTGGACACCGAAAAGAAAATCAGGGATGACGAAATGGCTGGATAAGTTCAGTTAATGAGATATGAAAATATTACTGGATAATTCAGTAAATGAGGTATGAAATTATTCTAACACCTAGTTAAGACTGGATATCAAAAGTTCACTAGGAAACTGTATTGAATCAAGTTCGACGCTAGCTATATTTGGTTTCTTGGTGATTAAGATCAAGGTTACTATCCTAATTCAGTTATAACTTCTTGGAGCTCATTGCTAGAATTGGATAAGTCATGTTATGTGTTCTCCCTGCTGTTCATGCCTAACCATTAATTATATCCTTATTGTTGTTGCAGTGGCTTCTGGTAAGAAAGGATGAGAATGAATTGGGGCCTTTTTCTGCTTGGAATATAACAGGAACTTACAGAGGTTTGTACAGTTGGATGTTTTAGTGCATTGCTGATATTATAAATGAGCGTGGAAAGAACACTTTCGTGTTGCTCTACTCTATATTTTTTTAAAAAAGAAGCTTTCCTGTTGTTCTTCCTTCACTTGTATGCAACATGGTGATAAAACTTTAAAGTGATTGAGTAGGACTCATCAAACACAACATAACAGAAAATTCATGATCACTTCAATTACTAAACTCAGTTGCTGCTTCGGTCTTGAATCTATCTATACCCTCTCCTCGATATTTGAATTGCAGGGTCTTGGAGGTTCCTAGATTCAACAAATAGCTCTTCCAGGTTTCCTGATTTTAGGAAGTCCAATGGCAACTCGGTCCTTGAATTGATAAGTAATCCAACAAAAATAACTGGTGTACATTATATTCAGGTAATCCTGTCATCATTAAATAAGTGAATTTCTTTATGAAATGCTATGTTAACTCCCTGTTCTCTGCACAAGTACTTGTCTCAAACTTATTAATTGTCTATGTCATGTCCCAATAGAGAACAATGTGCAGAAAGTTAAACTAAACTGCATTTTACTTTTAGTCTTTTGGTGTAATCAGTTATACTCTAATGACACTATCTCTATTATTGATGTGTTAGACTCAATTTAGACGTAGAGAAGTGAAATCAGGAGTACACTTGTATATAAGGTTACAGTAGGAGCCTTGTACTGTTTTGTGATATAATACGAAGTTACCAAGTTTAAAAAAAAATGTCATGTGCCCCAATAGGGTTTTTGAATTTTAAATTGATGACTGGGTAGTTTACTTCTCTTTCTATATCGAGAGAGCATCTATCATAAGTCATATCTAGACTTGCAGCATGCCATGCTTGTTTTATTGGACTTTACTTTGCTTTTCTAATAAAGCATGATGTTTCCAAACAGAAGTTGCAAACTTTATGTTTGTAGAAAACATATTTTTTGTAAGGTTTTCTATTTTTGGTATACATCTTGTGTAGTGGTGAGTTTTTCCCTTTATTAAAAAGATCTTATTTTTCTACAATATCTTTTGTCAAAAATCAAACTTAACATTTATCCATAATCATATGGTAAATGTGAAAAATTGCATGTTCCTCATGAAGGCGCTAATCAATGATAGCATAGGTCCAGGCATGAATGATATTAGACATTTATGCAATTAGTAAGTTTTAGTTAGTTTTTGTTTCATTTTTAGGAAGTTCCTCCAAACCCCCTTCGGCGTAAGATTACACTGTTTATTAGGCATTTCATCTTTCTTAGATGATGATACTTTCGGATGCAGAAATTGTACATTTCTATGGTTTAATCTTTAGTTGATCTCATTTTCCAAACAACAGGGTGCAATAATTTTCCATGATGTGTTTGACAATGAACATGGAGTTGGTGCTGCACAAATAAGGGTAGAAGGTGTATATATATGGCCATTTAGACAACTTCGAATGGTAGCTTACAGGTACTAGTTCTTATTTGGTACCTAAGCTGAAAGGAAATTTGTAACACCGTCGTAGGAAATTTCTAGCTTACAGGTACTGGTTCTTAAGATGCTACGGTCCTTTAATTCTGCCGAATGATTCAAAATGGTATTTATAATATAAGAGAATGGATGTCTAGGATGGGTGTCTTTGCTGAGTTTCAAGCACTCTTTAAGTAATTCATGCCAGAAATTTACATTTGTTACAATAGTTGCTAAAGTCCTTATCTCATGCTTAAGAATTCCAATTTAAAGTTTTTTTTTTCCGGGAATTGTCATTCAAATTGCTAAATCTTGTGTTCTTCAGAAAATGGAATTGAAATTTTAGATATTGGTTCCACATCACTTAACATTCCTGCAGATGCTACTGTCATGTGCTTTGTCAACTCATAGTTCTGCTTTTAATTTGCAGTGGCAAAGATGGTGAGTTTGGACAGGAAGACGATTATCTATTATCAAATCCATATCACTTGGTATTAATTACAACAATATGTCATTTGTCCTCAGCATGGATTATTGAGTATAGCTTTTACATGACTCCTGATGATCATCTGTTACAATGAGTTCTGCTGCTGCTTGAATCACTTGACATACTTTAATTTCTTCAGCAGTGTTACATGCTTTATATTTGAAGAGCATAATGCTTGAATACCATTAAGAATTTGACATGCTTTGACTTTTATATATGATATTTTGGTAATGGTATAACAAATTTCAAAACTTTTCTCTTTTGCTTTCTTAGGGCTCCGTTTGTCTACTGTATGTCTCTTTCTTTAAATTAATTTGCCGGGAGTAGCTTTTTATTAACATTTGAAACTTTAGCACATGTTTGGATACTCATAAGTAGAATTCCCTTTCAAAGTGGAGATGATGAGTGGGGATTATGAATGCTATTCATACCTTTTCTGATGGGTTTCCTTTCCCCCTATCCTTTCCTATTCCCTTCCTTTTTTGTTGTTTCAAAAAGGTTTTTGTGTATTCCATTCTTCCAGTGGTAAGAGATTCACATGTTGAAGAAAAATGACCATTATATCTGGATAGCCTTCTTTTTTCTTTTTCTCCATTTTACCTTGTAAGAAAATATATGCTTTTGCAGTCCGGTTTAGCTTCTTCGTAATCAAAATAGCTTAAAATGAGGGCTGCTCTTAATCTTTGTTCTTCCACAGCGGCAGCTAATTACCATCAGATATCTCATATTCTATGGTAATCAAATTGAAATTATTCGGAAATGATAAAAAGGAGGCTCTTTATGAGGAATTTCTTGTGTTCCGTGATGGCTATAATGTTTACTTTAGATGTACATCCCTTTCATGTGACAATAATATGTACATCCCTTTCACGTGACAATAATTCGAGTTTAAGACTTTATCAAGATTTAAGGCATTGAAAAATGACTTGCTTTGTCTTTGTTGACAGCTTGGAGTTTTCTCGTCCCAGATATTCCAGGAGTCTTCTCGAGATAAGATTTGGAAAAAGAAACACTGTAATAATTTATTTTTTTCAACAGTTATCCAGTTTAATGTTTTAGCTCCTAAGCTAACTTATGTATCTTTTTGTTTCTGCAGCACCGTTTTACGAGATGGAGAAAAATTGTAATATAGAAATTGCTGCACAAATTGCTCGTGTCTCATCCTCCTCAAATGGTACTTGGCTTTCTTATTTACCTTTCACCTTTGATACGACTCAAGCATCAAGAGGGACTTTCTTCTCTGGTTCATTTGGCTTTCATATATGCTTCCGAATTCATTTATTTCATGAACTCTGTTTTATATAATTTTTACTCCAATGATCATCAAGTAAGGATTTTTTAAATAAGGTTAGGTCAATCATTAAGAAAGGATTTTTGTCATTACTCTTTCAGTTCTCGGGTATTTTAGCTTTTGAGGCCTATAAATGTTCTAAAGTCAATTTGACAAGATCACCCTGCATTATATATGCAAAATGCATTATGTTACCTAAAGCTACTTCTTTCATATTCGTTCAGGATCTTCATATGCTTTTCTGCAGCTTAGTGTATCATGATGCAGTTTGCCCTAACAGAGAGAGTGCTGATACCATGTTAAGAAATGGATCTTGAGCCTAACTCAATCCCAAAATCTAGATCAAGAGTGTTATATTAAGAGACCACCCATTCCCTTCACCACAATATGGGACTTCTTCACATTTTCTTTGTTCCATTTTAATGCATATCTTGATTCAGTATTCAACTTATCCATAAGTTTGTGCAAAATATCAGGAACAAGTGATTTATTTTCCTTTCTCAGATGCAGCTCGTGACCATTATCAACTAGAAGGATTGATAGAGAGCCCTTCAGTGGATGCTGACGGGGACTGTTTCTCACCGATGCTTTTGAATGCTACTTCTGTCAATATAGAGGTTTACTACAACAAAGCGGTGAACTACACATTGATGGTCACATTTGTATCCTACAACACTTCTCATTTTTATTCATATCATTTTTGTAACAGATATCGCTTTGTCTGGATTCTTTAACTTCCTGATCCACCAGATATCTTTTCTGCAAGTGCTCCTTCTGATTCGACAAATGGAACATAGCAACACCCAATCAGTAGGACTACCTCTCTCTCTCTCCTCCCCCCCGTCTCTTATAAAGACTAGAGTGACATGTGATATCATTTTTCTAGGGAGCTGCGAAAGTTTCAATTCTGATGATTGGACAACAGGCTATCATGGATGCTTATCTTTGTCTTTTGCATCTGACCGCAGGGATACTTGTTGGTAAGTGATAAGTGCTGTTGCCTTAGTAATCCCAGCTAGTACATATTCATTTACTGAGTTCTCTGCAAGTTAATCATACCTTGTGATCAGTTTTTAGTTTGATTTTATATGGAACATTGAGGTAGCATCTAGCATTATACGTTTATACATGAACATTATTAGGATCATGTTAACAACATTCTTCTGCTTTGTCACTTTTAGAAGTAGCACTGTTAGAAGTTTATGTCGACAGTTCTTCAAAAGAATTTTACATTCTTAGCATGTACACTATTTTCTGGTAGCAAACTTATGTTGTTGAATATTGTTAATGAAGCAAGCCCTACACTGGGTCTCAAGTATTACTTTTATGTAATTTTTCTGTTCAGATCTATTCATTTCTTGCTCTCGATTAATCAGTGTTTGAAGTAAAAGCTGGTCACGTCTTTCTTGGCGCTGTTCATCCTTCCCTTCCTTTCATTCTTTTGCAGAATCCCTTTTCAATGCTTTTGCAACTGCTGCATTCTTCAAGTTTGTTGTGTTCTCGATCTTTGAGATGAGATATCTACTTGCTATATGGAAGGCAAATAGGCCCATGAATAGCGTAGAGGGTTGGGAAGCAATGAGGCGTGAATTGTCAGTACTTTACAGCCGTTTCTGTAAGTATCTTTTACTTGAGGTGGACTTGTACCGAAAAAGTCAACAGAATCAGCAAGTGAATAGTTGCTTACGACACATGCCTATATTACCAATATGCAGGCTGCTATTGAAAGGGTAGTTAGATGTTAAAATCAAATAATTTATCTGAGTTTACTGTTTCCAAGTCTTTCTTTGTTCAATTTTGCTTGTGGACATGCTAATGAATTAATCACTTTATTCTACCTATTTTCCCCAATTTTTGTTTGGGGTATCTAAAGGCTGTTATTCAGTATCTATAATTATTTACTTAATTGAAAAAAACAAAAACTGGGCTACACAATTTGGGAACTTTTGATATAACAGAATGATCCTGAGAAGTCTTCAGTGTCTGAACTGTAGAAAAGAAAGCAACAAGGGAAAAATAACAGTGTTCAACATAGAACGAGCTTTGCTCTTAGACAGGCTCCAAAGAAAATGCAATTGGTATCTACTTGGCAAATCATATAGAAAATCTAAATTATACTATTTAAGCAGGAGTATTATGCCGTTATGCCATTCTAACATCACTTAACATAGTGGACTAAAGTTCTTCATTTCCACCGGGTCAATTCAATGTCTTTCTCCTTTCAAAGTTGGGCCACTTCTGTTGCATTAGCAATTAGTCATAAATAATCTGCTTACATTTACCTTTTCTTTTTTCTGAATCTTTTGCAGATGGGATCCTTTTAGGCGGACTGTTGTTCATGTATGAGTTTCACAAGTTTCTGCGCCCTATTCTTCTACTTTTACACTCATTCTGGTTACCTCAAATTGTAACTAATGTCATTCGTGACTCAAGAAAACCATTGCACCCTCATTACATCTTGGGAATGACTATTACGCGTTTGGCAATTCCATTATATGTCTTTGGCTGTCCTCACAATTTCATGCGTATAGAGCCTGATAAGAATTGGTGCATCTGCTTGGGAGTTTTTATTGTGCTGCAGGCATCAATTCTTCTGTTGCAGCATTACCTTGGATCTCGGTGGTTCATTCCACGTCAGGTTTGATACTGCTTTCAGTTAAAATTCTTGAAAGGATTATTTGTTGAAAGCAGAAAAAAACTGAATAATTAGTGCTTCCATCTGTCTTATGTAAGTAAGCTTTATTGTGGTGTTGCAGATTTTACCTGAGAAGTATAACTATTATAGAAGGTTTGATCAGGGTGCAAATCACGCCACTGACTGTGTTATTTGCATGACTGCTATTGATCATACTCAACGCTCAAATAATTGCATGGTAACTATAAAAGAAAAATGCTCTAGCTTAATTTAGTGTTCCTATTAGAATGCGATTTTAACTCCAAAAAAAAATACACAGTTAGTAATTGGCCTAATGATGTTCAGGTGACACCTTGTGATCATTTCTTTCACTCTGGTTGTTTGCAAAGATGGATGGACATAAAGATGGAGTGTCCAACATGCCGACGTCCTCTTCCACCCGCTTGAATAAATGTTATTTCTTGAATTCATCTTGGTAGAGCAACTGACATTGCCCGACCTGTTTAGAAAGGTAAACGGCTTTACTTGAAGTTTATATTTGAACAAGTGAGTACAAATTCAGCAATAGTTCATAGTGATTTTACTTTTAATAATGCTGTTGTTTAAACTGTCTGCCTTGTAGCTTGCCATTGTCCGAGTAAAGACTACGGGTGTGGAGGAAAACATTTTCCGCAAAATGTTCTATAGTTCTCATGTTCGGTTGGTCAAAATTTTGGAAAATATTTTCTATAGGAAAACAAGCTCAATTTTGGAACACAGAAGTTGCCAGTCCAAATTGACTGTTTCCTCTCCACCCTCCAGGACCTCATTTTCACCCCATCTCCACCACGTCACGCTCCTACCTCCACACCCTCACCTCCAATAGTACTTATCTAGATTATCTACAAATGCTTTTAGGATAATATTTTTTTGCTTGCATTCTGAACACAGCAAGAAAATAAGTATGTAACTCATTGGTTTTCTTGGAAAATATTTTCGTTCCTTCAGAACCTGCCTTACGGCATGATAGATTTCCTTGTAAATAGATGTCTGAAGGTCGTTTTTCTGGCTATGATCCAGAAGGAAAAATGTTTGACAAGGCTTCATTCTCTCTTTCAGGTTGGAGACAGAGAGAATTACATAAGAAGTTTTCTGTATAAAAGTTGAGCACAGATTCACTAGACTTGCTGTATATCTTGTTGATTAACTGTCTATTCTTTTCTTATATTTCACATAAAAACAATAACATTATCAAATAATTCATAGAATTTATGGAATATTTCTTAATTTTTATGTGCCATATTGGAGTATGACCATATTTCATTCACTATCTAAATGAATGTGATCTGTAATATGAATCGAGTTCATTGCGACTCTTCAATTTCTCTAGACTTTTTTGGAGTAAGAAAGAAAATGTTTTTTATGGGTGAATAAAATTTGCATTAATCAATAAAAACCTGGGGAATTTGCAATGATATATAATTAACTAAGAAATTAAAGGGCAGGAGACTTTTAATTCTACATTACATAAATAAAATACAATATAGGAGAAAATGATCATTCAACTTTGAAGTTTGGAGCTTCTCACTTTTGATATAAAATAATATAATATGAATATGATATAATTACATAGGCGCAAAACTATTTGTCATTTTAAATTATGCTAAGCTAGCTGAATGCTACAAAAAATAATACAGATCTCTATTATTACATAACTGTTAGACATAAAACATATAGGAGGGGGTTCAAGAATTCTTGAACAATCATCATCTCATCTCGTCGGATTTGAATCATCATCTCATTTGAGAGGCAGCAGCACTAGAAACTGCTGCATAGGGGCAGAGCATTTTCCTCCTCTCTTTCCTTTTAATAACCTGTAGCTTGGGGGAGCTTGGTCTTGTGACATGTTTGGAAGACCTGTTGTTGTATACGGATAGACTTATATGTCGTCTTAGTATGAGGAAGACAAATAAAAGAAAGGTAGAAGAAACACAAACAGTAACATTCTTACTTTTGAGGTAGGAAAGGATGATCAAAATTAGGCACTGGTCTAGCATGAGGTACCAAAGTTCTCCTTAGTTGTTTTAAGGCCTTCTCCTCTTCCATCTATCCGCGTTCCAGAAATTGGAATTAGTCTACATACTTTGTAATGAAAAATAATAGTATAGTTTGATAATATGAGCATACCATTCTTGCACATTCTGCTTCCTCCTGATACCTATTATACATCATTTCTTTCTCCTTAATCTGCACAACAACTTATTAGGTGAGTGCTAGACCCATACGAAAGCGTAAGAATGTGATTAAAGAGGAAAAAGTTTACCTTCTTATCAAATTCAGTTCTGTCAACAGCACGGTGATTTACATGCAGATTGAATTCCTGAACCTCAGTGAAAGGTTTACGTTCTTTCTCAGGAACTGGAATTGGATCCCTGCATTATTACGTAGAAAATATTAGCCACCTTTCAGTATTACTGAGTAGAAAAGTTGATATTCCTCAAAGTTCTTACTCAATCAAGATTGGTTGCGCCTTGAATAACCTCATCTTAGCTTCTTCCTCCTCCAATCTCTTCCTTTCTTCCATTTCTCTTCTCATCTCCTCTTCATGCCTAATGAGACTCTCAAGTTCGAAAGGTTCTGTCTTTGTGCAAGGTTTTGGCTCTGGTTTAGGTGGAATCTGGCAAGATAACATGATAAAATAAACAAATTTATGTTGTTTTTTGTGAAAAGGATAATATCAACTGAATTGGTATCAAACTATTCATACCACAGGATAATCAGTAGTATAAGGATATGGAGTTGCTTTGGGATTTCTTGACCTCTCTTCCTCTATCTGTTTCTGTAGAAGTTCAGAGAACAACTTCCTCTCTTTCTCAACTCCTCGTTCCTGAAATTCCGGAAAAAGCCAAGTCAGGACTGAACTATATTTTCAGCTTACCAAGATGTAGAACTGTCTGATTTGTACCTCAGTGTAGAGATGAAAAGGATTCGGTGTAGTGTTTCTGAGAATAGTCTTGTCATTTTGAGGTTGAGAATACAAGGAAAGCTGAAAAAACATAAAGCATAATGATGAGAAAGAGGCGCGATAGGATTATCAGAGAAAAGTATTATAGTAAGAAATATGATTGAACCTTGTCAAACAGATCATCAACGTTAGCTTGAGGCAGAATCCTTTTATTTGTGGCAAAGTGAAATTCCTGAGGCACAGTCACCTGCCTCTTTGTGTTGCAAAACATTCCCAAATCTCCTTTACTTTCAAGAATCTACAAATTAAGGGGAAACATTTAGAATAAAGCAAGAGAGTTCAATCTAATTGATCACCAGAATAAAGTAGGCGGTGGCAGATGTTGTTACCTTCTTATTCAAAGGCCTTGCCTTGAACTTTGGCGCTTTTTCAAGTTCTTCCTTTTCCAATTCTTCTGTGCTTTTGGCAATTGGAGGTCGTGCTCTTAGTGATGTTTTTAGAACAGGTGATTTAGGTGCTGTAAGATGTGGCTGCCACTGATGACTCTGAGATCAAATGAATATGTTTTCACTTAGTAATTAGAGCAAGTAATTGTTTTCGTTTGAGTTATTAGGTGGCACTTTTTAGTACCTGAGAAGAAGATTCTATTGATTGAACTGAAGTTGTATCCGCGTTCTTATTTGCCCTTGCCATTGTTTCCAAGTGAAATTCCTGCTTAAGTAAAGATGTTATACAAACTATCCTGGTATGCAAACTTTGCTCTTAATTCTTTTGGAATCACTATACCATACCTTAAATTCTGGAAGTTGGGGTGTGCTTTTAGGTAATAATAATGGTTGAGTTGGAGCTTCCAAAATCTGTTATCACAAAATGTACAACAAAACAAAGTTGGACGGTAACGATCATAAGAAAAGTTTCATCATCAAAAGGCCGTTGTAGAGCTACCAAAATTAATTGCCAAATACTGTGTAACATGAGCTACCTTTTTGTTAACTGGGTGAGCCTTAAATTTGGGAATTTTGGCCATCATTTCTTCCTCAAGTTCAGCTGAACTCTTCACCCTTGTTGGACGGACACGTTGAGCTGTTTCAAATTCAGGTTCTTTAGGCCTGGTTAATGTAAGTTTTGGTTTTCTCTGTGCTTGTCCAGTCGAATCACCCTGCGTGATGAATGTACTTCAAAAATGTTGTCTAGGAAACTTGATCCATTGTACTAGGAAAGTACCAATACTTACATTTGAGGTAGAATTTCTCATGCAAGGCAGTGAATTTTCCCTTGTGCCAGATTGGAATTTCTTTATCATTTCTGCTGTTGAAATAAACGGGGAAACAAGTGGCCTAACATACATCTGTACAATACAAAGTTTTAGTAAAATTTAGAAAATTGAAGTTTGCACGTATTAGAAGTGCAAGAAAAAGGAGTCATGATTTACCTTTCTCTCCTCTTTTCGAGTTTTAGCTGCAGATGCAAACAAGTTAGAGCTGCTATTAGCTACCCCAAGTCTTGTTTTGTGTGGCAAATGTTGAGGAGGTTTAATATCAAGAATCTAGCAGTTTGTAAAGAAAGAAAAAGCAAGATCATCAGATAAAGTAACATGAAATATTCTGCACAATTCACATCCAGAGAAGATCTAGAGAGGAGACACTTACCTTCCTAGATTTTCCTTCTTCTAGTTTTTGTCTCTTTACTGCTTGGTTTTCTTGGGCAAAATTTGGAGTTCCAGCATCACTTTTCTTGATGGCTTGCCTGTGCAGCAGCAAATGAAATTCACTTACTTTTTACCAAAGAACAGCTAGAGCATTAAGAAAATCTACATGTGCAGCAGCAAATGAAATTCACTTACTTTTTACCAAAGAACAGCTAGAGCATTAAGAAAATCTGTAGTGTCACTTACTTTCTAACAGTAGCTTGATTAGAACTACTCAGATGCGACTGTTGTTGTTGAGTTTTTGACTTTAATGCTGAAGGGTTTCTAAGTATGCTTGCAATCTTTTTAGCAGTTTGTTGCCTCTTGGAATTAGTCTTCCGAGAGTCGCTCTTCTGAGATGTTATTGTTGGTCCGGGTGTGCAAGTTTCTGTTACATACAAGTGCTAAATTAGAATCTTTATCAGCCAAATTCATTCTAAGGATATAAGAATAGGATTCTCATAGTACAATTTACCTTGAACAATAGACTGCTTCTCTTCAGATTCCTGGAAAATTACAAAGACAAGATAAGACAGTGTTCAAAAAGGCGCAGCAAATGGTGCTTCTTCTCTACTACAAGTTATGAGTGATGCATACCGGATTAGGAAGACTGGTGCAAGGTTCTGGTACAATTAAATATGGCGTTACCTCGTCTTTACTTTTAGAAGAAGTGAGCTCAGTAGCAGGCCTGTTTTTCAGATAGTAATGTCAGTACATTGACACCATTAAGAACCTATGTTGCTCAAGACGCTTCAAAAATGTTATCGGGTTAATGAGTTTTGGAGGATCACATTTTGGAGACTCCGAGCAACACAGGTAAGAACATAATCATTTGCTTTTTGCAATATAAAATAGTTACAGACCTTGTGTTATCTTGCAACTCCTCAGCATCAGTGAAGTCACATAGGCTCTCAAGTTGAACCATTCTACCAGTTTTAATTTTTGGCATAAAAGCTGGAAAAACAACCAAGAAGAAAATCAACATCTCATCCCAAAATTGTCACTCTAATAAACATAAGCAATCAACATGTCATCCCAAAATCGCCAGGACATTATTACAGTCCACATTTATCGTATACATACGCGATGAAACAGAAGTATGCATTGAATAAACAGATCAAACATAACATCAGTGGTTGGTACCACCTATATGTAGGAGTGGTTGTGATGGAAATTTCAACTACACTACACTTATTTGAAGTTCTTCACAGTCAAGTCAAAATGTTCATTGATTGTAAGATCCGTATGCTTGATAAAGTAGAAGGCTTTATCAATGCATTTTAACTACCACTAACTGTTCTGCATTACTACAGATTCCATTAATAGGGGAAAAAATACCAAATTATCAAATATGATTCTAAAGTTGACATCATTTGGTTGGCTACCTGAACTTTCATGTTGCTATCAAATTACACAAACGCACAAAACAGAGAACCCAAATAGTGTAACAGAGGATGAAGAAGAAAATGACATACGAGAAGGAGCATAGCTTCTTGAAATGTGGAACCAATGCTCAGCTTTCTGTGTTTCCTCTTCTGTTTCTTCATCAACAAAGTCATAAAATCTTGGCGCTGAGAACTCGTACGCCTGGTCGATTACGAAAGAGTTGTGTTCATACATTTTACAGAGAGATTGTTGTGGGTCTGAATTTGATCTTCGCAAGAGAAAAAATGGATGGAGTAGAAAATGTTGTGAGTTTTTGTGTCTAACGGTCGAATTTTGTTTTTGAAAAGGGATTTGGCAACTGTTGGCATTTGTAACGGCTATAAATCCAGTTGTCAAAAAGGTAGCACGACGTCGTTCTGTTCCCTTATAACACCACACTAAACTACTACATCAAAAAAAAAAAAAAAAAAAAAACTACTACATCCAATCAAATGAGTTTTTTTTGTCGGGAGTTCGTTAATACATGAAAACTCTCCCTCAATATTAATCTTTAATTTGTTTTTTTAATTAAAAAATAGTAAATAGTAAAGAATGTTTTAATTTGTTTCAAAACATTTAAAAATGTTTCTTTTTTATGGATCAATTTTTAAATAGTTGTCTTGATCACTTTACTAAACTAAAATCAAAATCTCTCTATGTTACCTTGCAATTAATTCTTTCCATAAGTATTCACATTTGTTTGTATAATCTTAAAGGCTTTTTAAGAGCTGAATTTATAAAATTAACTTTTAATTTATAATTTCTTAAATACAGTATAAAACGAAGACATAATATATAAAATAGGAGAACATATTTGTTCATTGAAACCAAGTCAAACGCAATATCCTTCGTGTATTATGTCATGTAAAGCACGTGTGTGTTTATTTCTGCACACTCAAAATAAGAGGACATAGTTATCCTCTTCAAGCCAAATTAGAAGTCCTATTTATATATTATGCCTAAAACGGAAAATGATTAACTAATATGTGATCGAGAGAGTAATAAAAATTATTCCTCATGCTACACGTATAGACACATTAAAGGAAACGTCCTACTAAAATTAGGTCGTTTGTATGACAAGAGACTAAGTATCAAATAACGTTGTCCTCCAAGACTAAGACAAAATAGAAGAAATCACGTAGTAACATTTTTGTTTATGTTGGACTTTAAACCTTTCAACCCACTATATCAATTATCACACTAGGCCATAGCCTTGACTATGCATAAACAAATAGACAAAAAAAAAAAGGAGAGTAGAACCATTTCTGTAGTATAGTTCATTTTGAAGCCCATTTTTTTTTAAATATGAGACCATTTGTACACACAACACAAAAACAATGTTGAACATGAGTGTTCTTGAACTTGTTTATACAAAGAAAGATGCAATTTTGAGAGAATAGATGAGCAAATTACAATTTGAAGTATTATGTAACAATTTTTTTTGCTTCAGAGATCTTGTGTGCAGCGGTTGAATTCAGGACGCCTTCTCGAATCTGAAAACATGATGATGAGTATGGACTCTTGTAAATCCTTTCAATCGAGCAAAACGAGGCATTAATATTTATGAGTCTTAACAACGGGAAAGAGGGAATCCAATTCCATGACGAGTTGTAGGAAAAACAACGAACAAAAACGTGCAAATCACCCCAACAACCATTGGCAATATCGCGAGTATCTCCTGAGCATCCAGAGACGGAGAAGGGTACAAGCATTTCATCACATTCTGATCAAACGCCGCGACAGCACAAAAAACAAGTATTGACAAAAATGCATGAAAGAAATCAATGAATTTCAGCTTATATTTTTCTACATCCTCAGGAGGAGATGAACCATCAATAATCCATAAACCCCTGAATGTAGCCAATCCATAACGGACTTTGCCTCTTTCATCGCGAAAACTGTCTGTAAAACAGAGGAAAAAACATGAAATCGCGCAAATTCCTAAAAGGATTAATGTCATAGAATGACTAATTGTGGAACGACATTGTCCTTCATGTGTTATAACTGGTGATAATATTTGGAATGCAAGAACAGAACCTGAAGGCAAAAGATTTGATAAAACGGCTGTTTTTTTGAATGTTTTTCTAATGACTTTTTGGGCTGCTGTTTTCTGTGGTTTATCAGCAACTTGTAAATCTTCTAACAAAGGTATTTCCAATTGATTTTCAGATGTAACAACAGATTTTGTTTCTAATTTTTCTGTATTTATCGCAACGGAATCTGAATTTGAATTCTTTGAGGTCTCCATAGTTGTTGAATCTTTCTCTGTTGTTGAAGGTTTAAGTCCAATTCATTTATAATTTTGGTGAATTTTAGAAATATATATATATATATATATATACCTCCAACAAAGTCTCCAAAAACAGAGATTTTGATACAGGGTTCTGGTTCATTTGTCATTAAAAAGGGTATATGGGTTTTTAGTAAAAAAATTTAAGGCTAGAATTAATTCACGCCTTTATTTCACGTAAATATTGAATGTGGATTGCCAGAATTTATTAAATTATGGTCTGATAACGTAACTTAATTGTTTCAAATGAATCTATAATACGTTAGTTATATTACTGAAAACAAACTATATACTTTTAGGCATAATATAACATAAATATGTCCTTTTTGAGCGTGATTACACGCGTTTTTGATATATTTTCGACATATAAAAGAATAAGTATATGCCTATATATGGCCTGGAAGGAACATTTTTAAGAGGAAAAAGAAGACAGGTCATATATTTATTCCAAATGCAAATTTCGCCTAGCAGGCTGAGGAAGAAAATGAAATGACGAAAAAAACAAACAGTTTAGCTAATGGTAGCGTCCTACGTATTCATTTTCTTCCAGTGCTATTCAAGTTCAAGTCCTGAAGATTGAGCATCAGATCATCGGCACTCAAGTAAGCTTTGTTTGCTGAATTTGAAATGGTATGTGCAATGTCTCTTGCTGCTTCGATTTTCCTGAGCGTTATAAATGCTGGATTGTTAGCGATAGCTTGACCAATCAGCTGCGCGCTCTTAGCCTCACCCTGCGAGAAAAAAACAAATAGGAACTCAAACTCCATAACAAATGATGATAGGTTGAAGCAGAAATTTGAATATTAGGATAAGTTACGGGAACTAATTTTGACCTGAGCTCTAATAACAGCGCTACGTTTATCTTGCTCAGCCTTTTCCACAATAAACTTTGCTCTCTCAGCTTCTTGAGCAGCCACCTGTTTTGCTTCAATTGCAGCTGTGAACTCCTTTCCAAAAGTCAGGCTTGTTATCGATACATCATCTAAAGCGATGTTGAAGTTGGCTGCCCTCTCAGTTAAGATCTTCCGTATCTCTTTACTAACATTCTGCACGAGTTACACACAACTGAATAAAAATGAACAAGAACGTTATGAGTTTCTATGACAGCCAAATAGAAAATCTGCATCCAATATCAGAACATTCCTCACAATTGACACAACCATATACAGTACTCAGTTCCGATAGGAACATCAACACATGAAGTAGGTACATGTCCTCTCACACATACCTCTCTCTGGGTGATATAAGCTGGTTAGCATTGTATTGCGCAACCACAGATTTCAAAGTTTCATGAATAATTGAAGGCAGGACTCGTTCATTATAATTTTCACCAAGTGATCGGTAAATAGTGGGTAGTTGATCTGGGACTGGACGTGTGAGAACTCGAAGTCCAATCTTTACCTGAAAAATCATCAAGGAGCAAGATCAATGTCTACAACTATACATTCTTTTAGCAAGCCTATTCACAATCCCCCTTCTTTCGGTATCTCTTTTCCTTTTATATTTCTTGGAGTATGGAGCAATGCAGGTATTGAGAAAAAAATTACCATCTGAAGGTCACGACTTCCGGAGGTACTTTCCACTAGATGTGGACGTGCACGGACATCATATATCACAGGCCTATCGATCCAAGGAATCATGAAATGTGTCCCTTCTGGATAAACCTATTCATCAAGCAGAGCATCGTGCATCAAAAACACACAAGGCAAGTCTGAAGTATATGAAAGCCAGTTTTAAAGGTTCATATACGAGGCTGTACACCATAAACCACCATATTGAAAATACGATAAAATAAGTAGATATGACAATATCTTCAAACTATAAAATACTTGAATGTGCTTGGACATCAAGGTACTGAACAAACATGCACAACATATACTGATTCATACTTTTACTCAAACGATAGAAGCAAACACATCCTGCTTGCTAAACCATGTCAATGAAAGAATGTTCCGAGCACACCCAAAAGGAAATATTGAAGAAGCAAAGCTATAGTCGAAGAATTTCCTTAACTGTGCAAGGGACTTAAATCCATCATATTTCTTAAACGTAAGAGTTTCAGAGATGACTATCGACGAATCATAGCATCAAGTCAATCTAATTTAAGTACTGAAAACAGGATCCAAAATATCATCCGAGAGTACAAGACATATATACCTTATCTTTAACACCACGAATACGGTTAAAAACAATGGCACGATTCCCGCCATCAACATTGTAGAGACTATTAGCAATTCCATACACACCAAGACCGATAACAAGCCCAAACTTGATCAAGGGAGAAGCGGCACCACCACCACCAGGCATCTTAGGAACCTTAACATTCTTGAGATTCATTTAAGTAGTCCCTGAAAGTAAACCTAATAAAAGTCATCATTATAATCAAGTATACTTCCTCAGTTTCAAAAAGAAAACATCTTTTCAGCTCCAACTTTTCACATGACATGTTTAGTGCCATTGGATCAGCATATCTTTAATTTCAGACCACAAGATCCAAAAAACCTTCATTACTTTCTTAATATTTGTGTAAGTCAGAACAAAGACAAACAAATTGAAACGTGACATCCTGAAGAGCTTTTACAAGTATTTATTAACTCAAATTATGATTCGTCAACACACAATTCAATTTCGTCATCTCTAATGTAAAGAACTTTACAAAATGTTCACTAAGATTGTGAATATTAAGTAAATCTCCATGACTAACCGAAAAACAACAATACATGATCGTCTTTGTTCGAGTTAGAAAAGCTTTGACGACTCAAGATTCATATTTATTAACCCATTCAATTAGACATACTACATTGTACACCAATGCAATGTTACATTGCTACAATTTTATTAAGTAATTCAATAGAAAATTGTCAAAATTATGCAAAACACACAATTCTTAATTATAAAAAAAAATACAAAATAAAATAAAATGTGTAGATAAAAAAGAATGAAACTTTAAGAGGAAGATCTTTTTACCTGATCGAAATGCAGGGAAGGAATTTTTTAGAAAGTTAGAGCTGAAATGGGGTTTAATGGAAACATGGAAAGAGGGTTTTATTAATACTTTAGGGCTTTATGATTTATTTAAAATCTACATATTTGGCCTAATATTGTGTTAACAGTGAGAAAAGAAAATTTAATTTTGTCAGTGAATTTTAATATATAATCCAATTTAAAGAAAATCATAACCAAAATAAATTAAATATTTTTATTAAAGAATTTAAACATGTAAAATTCAACATAAAAAAATGATTTACTTAATATAAAGAGTATGCACTAAACAATTGTTTATTTATTTTTGGGAAATTTATGTAAATTTGACTAGCTCATAAGTAGAAATTACAAGGTGGAAAATCAAATTCAAAGTTCTCGATTTGGCCATAGTACCACACCTGGACTTAAAGCTATGATCAAATTTGATTGGATATGATCCTATCCAACTCAATCCGAAACTTAGAACAATCGACTTGTTTGGACGGTAACGGGGAGTCGTGCCTGTTTTATATTCGGATATATATAAATAACTTTATAAAAAATAGAAAAACAAATACATGTACATAATGTATAACATATAAAAAATACACATAACAATTCATACTTGTGTATAACACGTAGACCTAAGTCTCCCAAATAATCATAGTACAACAGTTCATCTAATATAAAATTAATAAGTAGATCTCCGTATCTCTCCTCTCTTCTAGTTACAATGGTCATGGATAAATAGTTTGATAAACTTATTTCAGGCTATCTAAAAAATAAAAATTATGTTTGACTGATTCATTGAAAAATTTTATTTTTGTCAAAAATATTATTATTTGATATATAATATGAGCAAGTAAATATGGAACTATACATTAAAAAAAAGACTTCATGTGTAAATAGAATTTGATTAGGAAAAGGAAACTGGAATAAAATAAGAAAAAATATATATATTAATTAACCCTAGTTCATTTAATTAGAATCCCAATTTTTTTTAGATTATGGCGTTTTCTTCGAGAGATTACATTTTTCTTCAAGAAATTAGTAGCAATATTATGCCTCATGATCAACATATTCCTCCTACTAATAATGTAGCTCCGTATCCAATGCGCATGCAAATTTTTGACACAACTGGTATAGAATTACGTGCCCAACCGATTGTTAATGAAGTTGTTGATGATGAAGAAAATTATAGTGAATTTTCGGACGATGACGATGACGATGACGATGACGATGACGATGACGATGACGATGACGATGACGATGACGATGACGATGACGATGACGATGACGATGACGATGACGATGACGATGAGGACGAAGACGTGGACGTGTCTAAATATTCTAAAACAAGAACTTATCATGTTCCAACTATGGATCTTATAAGTGGTGATCATGATATTGTAGATGAAGCATGTGCTATTTGCTTGATTGAATATAATGAAAAAGATACTATTGGTACACTTCAATGTGGCCATGAATTTCATGTTGAATGTATCAAGAAGTGGTTGATGAGAAAGAAAACATGTCCCTATTGTAGAGCTCAACTTTTGCCCTCACTTGAAAAAATATCATCCTCTTAATTTGAAATACTTTTTTTTCTATTTTGCTTGTGATTGTGATTCGGAGAGTGAGTTAGTATTTATTTCGGGAATGTTTAGTGAAAATTCTAATTTTCATATGAAACTTACAAGGTTATGTAAGTTTTTTTTTTTTAATTTTATTTTAATGTCCATTCAAGTGACTCATATATATATATGGATTATGGTACACTCTTTATCATCCTAGTAATATGATATTTGGTAATGTTTTATATTAGTGTTACATATAGTTGAACCAATGTTTTAACATATATATTTGACGTATTTTTAATTTAAAATAAAGGTTTCAAATTTAAATCTATTGAAAAAAGAAAATATATTTATTGGACACCAAATGTGAAACCAAAAAAATTCAGCAGCAATTTGGAACAGGAAAATGACAGATGAAGCTTCTCCTTATATGCAATATATGAAGATTGACTTCAAGTCAACCCTTGACTTTCATTGCCTCAATGAATTACCTCTTCATTTTATAATATCCTTGTGATAACTTTTCATACATAAAGAAGAATCAAAGTGTATTCAAATTCTGTCTTCATCATAAGTTAATGAATATTATCATGTGTACATGAATATCTGTTAAAATTTCTGTGATGAAATGTAGTTCTATATCAATTGATAGTGTGAGCAATGTTTATATATACCTACTACCTATTTTTTCTTTCTTTGTTACCAACTATACTAGGAATATACAAAGGCGGAGTCAGGATTTTTTGTGTATCAGCCTTCCCGGAAGGGATGGAGGTATGTTAGAGTCTGATTTATCTGGGATATGAGTTGTAGTCTCTTGGTCTTGAACACTCTTCACTCATAATTTAGCTCTTAGGCTTGAATTGAATTCAATATCTTTTACTTATATGAGCCTCTCATTGTTGCTTTTGTTTTTCTGTATCTTTTCCTTCTGTTGTTTCGCAGACATACTTGCCATGGAAATTTTTGGTGCAGTAGTTAGCATGATGCAATGTTTTTGTGGAGAGACTTGTTCTCGTCAATCCGTTTCTGAAACATGAACATACCTGAGAAGGCCTAGTGCATTAGCAGATAGACTTAATGAAAACATGGAATTGCTTAAAGCTTGGGAGGAGGATATAAAAAGGAAGTTACATGTGGAAAATGTATGGCGCGGTATGGAGCCAAAGGCTGAGGTGAACAATCAATGTAAGAAAGATTACAAGTAGTATTGCCAGCATGCAAGAGAAACTTACTGCAGACAAGATGTGTTTAAACAGATGTTTGCCAAATTATATGTCTCGAGTTAAGCAGGGGAAATGCATCAACAAGAAAATTAAAGAAGTCGACAGGCCCTGGGGCAGATCATATTTCCAGATACTTTGTTGGTTGATATGATGCCTCGGAGGGAAAAGATATTGCCAGCATCCTCATTAGTAGGAGAATTTGCTCAAAGAAGTTTGGAGGCTGTATGGGAGTATTTGAATGATGAACACTCTGGGATAAGTGGCATTTATGGAAAGGGGGGTGTGGGTAAGACATCCATCCTCGTAGAAATCAATAATCGTCTTTTGAGAGAGAGCAAAAAATTTGATAATGTCATTTGGGTCACAGCATCCAACGATTCAACAGTGCAGAAATTTCAGAAGGATATTGCTAGAGTAATAGAGTTCATCTTTTGACCATGAAGATGATGAAATGAGAAGAGCAGCTCAATTACTTGAAGCGTTGATGCGAAGAAGTAGATTTGTTTTAATTATAGATGATTTGTGACTGCAATTTGCTAATAACTACTAGATCCATGGTAGTTTGTCGTGGCATGGAATCAGTGAGGGAAGTTGAAGTTAGTATTCTTTCAGAGGAAGAAGCATGGAACCTCTTTAAACAGAAGGTCGGTGAGGAGGTGCTAGCATCTCCAACATTACAAGCTGTTGCCAAGGATGTGTCGAAGGAGTGTGGAGGTCTCCCACTAGCTGTTGTAAGAAGAGAAAATGATCTGAGGCAATGGAAAAATGCATTAAGCCAGCTGAAAAGTGCAACGGGAAGAATAGAAGGCATGGAGAATCGAGTCTTTGCACGTCTCTGAGATTTAGCTATGAAAGACTGAAGGACAATGTGACTCGTTCATGTTTTCTTTATTGCACATTGTACCCAGAGGATCATCATATCGAGACCAAAGAAGTGATTAAGTACTGGACATGGGAAGGCTCTGTTGGATAACTTGGATATGGAGAATCCAAGATGCTGCAGGGAAAGATGATATTAGATGAACTGGAACATGCGTGCCTTCTAGAGATCATTGGATGTCAAGAAGGTAGTTTAAATGAATATGTCAAGATGCATGACCTCATTAGGGATATGGCGATAGCTGTTACAAGAGAGAGTCCACTCTTAATGATCCGAGCAGGACATGAGATGCGTATCCCACCAGTTGAGAGTGAATGACTCGAAGGCCTTGAAAGGATCTCGTTAATGAGAAATGATTTGAACTCTTTGATTTTGGAACCGAGATGTCCTCAGCTAACCACCTTGCTATTGCAGTATAATTCATTGTCCAAGGGTGTACATCCTTCTTTCTTTAACCATCTAAAAAGTCTCAAAGTTCTGGACTTATCTTACACGGGCGTCTTTGGGTTGCCTGATTCACTTTCTAATCTCGAAAACCTTCATGCTTTGCTTCTACGTAGTTGTTGGAACTTGTATCACCTGCCAACAATGGAAAGGCTAAAGGAGCTGAGCGTTTTATATCTCTCTGCTACACCAATTGAGTGTGCGCCCCCGGGGATGGAAATGTTACTCAACTCGAAGCATCTGGATCTCTCCCTTACTACATTTCATGATTTTGATATTCAAATTTTAGGAACATACAGATTTCTGGAGAGTCTCTCAACTATTGGTCTAAGCCAACCTCTAACGCTAGGTCCAGAATTTGTTAACGTTGTGAACCGCTGCACCATCTTGACAACCCTTGAAGCCAATTTCAGCAACTTGCAGGACTTCAACTATTATGTCTCATCAGATTTTAGGATAGTATGAGCAACATCGAGTACTCAGCCTATATCGTATTGAACTGTACTGTCTTGTTTAACAGTTCATGAATGAGACACAGTAGTTATTCTTTGTGTCGTTCTCTTGTTTAACATACTTTAACTACAGATTCTCATATTGGATCCAACTAGTTTTTCCTTTTTATATGGGTGGAAGTGGAGGTCGGGCTCTATGGAACTGGAAGCCGAAGCCCTATAGTCTATAGTAGGTGTGAGTCATGAGTTGAAAATCCTGCATCCCGTTTGTCTTTGCTGTACAGTGGCTGCTATGCGGATAAGGATGTGAAGTATAACCAAATACGAGTGTTGGATTGCTAAAAACTATCTAGTCTGTGAAAGTATGAGCAAAGATTCTTGCTGGGGAGTACTAGATGAAATTGTCATATGAAATCACTATATGAAACTTTCATATGAAATAGCTTATATGGTTTAAATTTTTTGTAGCTTACACAAAATCATAGTTTGTTTGTTGTATGCACAGTTCTTACTCATGAATCAGTCCAAATTAATAGACTTTATTTTCATGTATATTTAATCATCATTTCAGGAAGGAAATCAGTAAAAATACCTTTTCTCCAAGTCCACACCTTCTTCGGATGCCAATGTCTCGATTGATCAGCTCCAATTTGGTTTTAACTCCAGCGGAATGCAAAGGTAGAGCTTCAATCATCGCCATACCTATGGCTCGAGAGACCACTTCTAGACCTTCCTCAGGTTTTGCTGGAACATGCTCTATCCTGCACACTGGATGCCCTGAAATTGAGGCAGTATTTGCCCAGCTCCCGCGTGATGGTGTCCCAAACCTTACTGATCGCGGGAGCTGCAGCATATAGATAAAAAGGTACTGTTTTCACTTGCATTGTTGTGCTTCATAATGCACACGGAAACGTGAGAATTCGACTTCTCTTGCACATTTTCAGGACACAGATGCTAACATTAGTTCTAGGTGTTGTTGAGCTTTATATATCTTTTAGACACGGCTTGTTATACATATAATTGAACTTCCTTTGTCAATGCTTCAAGAATTCTAGTATATCTTGCATATGAAATAGAGGTAGCTTTTTAAATTTTAGTATATATATGTATTTGTTTATTTATTTGAATTCCCAGAATGCAGAATTAGACATTGACTCGATGATTTAGGGGTTTGAAATGATGTTTTCTTAATGGAAATTCTGAAATTAATACTGTGATTTTAAAAATAAAGTAATATGTAAAGATCACTTTAACTTCTAGCTTCGCTTATCGAATTATATTGCGTATGTTTCTGTTGTAACGGACGAAAAAGGAAAAGAATTAAATAAAATTAAAGCCACTGTCACGATTAAAGTATGCAAAGACTAATGAGACCTGGTTGATCACAATAAACGGTGTTACAGTTTTTGCCTGCCCTCTCAGTGACTTTTAAAAAGTAGAAAAACCAACTGTCTTGCTGTGAAATACGATTGTGATGAAGTGGTAAGTGTTTTTTTAATTAGAGGTTTCAAATATGAATTTCTTTATATACGAAGTCGTCTTTTTAAAGGAATACTTTAATATTGATATGAGACTTTTCGACATAAATTTAAATTTAATCTGACTTCAATATAGATATCGGAGATATCGAGTGGCCACTCAGGAAACAGAAGGTATTTATTAGTATTAAACGAAACTAAAAAGAAAAGCAAGAATGTACATTCCCCATGTCATGCACATTTTTTCCTTCTAACTTTGTTATTTCCGCCACTCCTTTCCTTGGGGTGTTGTTTGGTTCCAACAGAAATTCTCACATCATTTAATATTAAATCTTAAAAAATGATTTGAAAAATAAATAATTAAAATTGAGGATAAAACATTTTTAAAAAAACTTGTCTTTTGATATGTTCATTAAAAGTAATTGTAAAAGTGAAAATTTATTTTTTAAAGAGCGAACAGGTAAAAGTGGATGAAATTTTCTTCGAAAAAATAAGTAACTTCTGGTGTTTGACATCAACAACGAGAAGGTCCATTGAAAATAACATTTCTATCTTTAGACTTTTATTGTAAGACTGCACACACGACGTCGTTCTCATACCTCACATGTGAAATTATACTCGATATGTTGATGATGTTATTATTATAGGACGAGATTGAGGTAGGAGTGTAGAGTGGTGAAGGTGGGAACTAGCTATGGGAAGTGGTGGTGGTGAAATCTCGCGTGTTGGAAGACGAAAAAGAGCTGAATATCACTTGTGAAAGTTGTTTTTCCTACTCATGATTAAGGAACTTTTGTTTTCCCAAAAAAAGATAGTACACCCTCTATTCCTTTTTAATAGTCATGATTTTCTTTTTTAGAGTTAAACGATAAGAACATTGACTAACATTTTACAATGTAAATAATAATGTGAAAAAAAAAATTACAATTTATAGTACTTTTCGTATAGTTCTTGAGTATCAAAATTTTAACTTTCGAAAAACGCAACATTACAACTAAAAGGAAAACCAAACATGAAAATTATCAAGAACATTGTCATACACACCCTTAATCTACCTCAAATGTGTGGTGTGCCTAGAAATAGAAAAAGAGAGAGGAGGAGGCAGTTTGAAAACCACTTTAAGATGACAAGAAACATGCAAGATGTGACACTCTTTGTTTGACAATATAGAAGGTAGAGCTAGAGGGGGTTTCGTTCTTGTTTTTCTTCATTTTTTTTTTTTTATAAATTTGTAAGAGTGAAAGTGAGATGGCAAAAGGGGGAAGCATGAAGGGACACATGCAGAGTCACAGCAGAGGAAGAACAACATATGCAGTGTTATTGCTTCTTGCTTTTGGGGTTGCAATATTTGGAGTCATCATTTTACACAAGCTCAGAGAAAGGCGCATATTCAACCTCCTTGTTAAAGATAAACAAATTGAACTCATCCATGTTAAACTCCTCTTGCAGGTGCTCTCTCTTTCTTTTTCTTCTGTGTGTATGTGTGTGTCTTGTCAGCTACATGTCCAAGACTCGAACCAGAAATCTCTAATTAAGGATGAAGAAGTATTTATTACTCCACCACGACTCTGATTAGTCATGCATGTATGTCATGTTACTGTTTGTGGCTCCTATGTTAAGACTTTTCAACCATTTGTCGCGGGATTTTAGTAGCTCAGTTGTTAGAATGTCGACCTGAACTTTCATTTTGTTGATGAGAGTTTGAAAAATAGAACATTTGCTGCAGTTAAAACAAAGATTTAACAGGAGATGGGTTTTAAGATTTTAAGAACAATGATAACTTTTTCTATTTAGTTTTGAGCCTTTATTTCTGAAATGACATATCAGAAACAAACTTGTAAACTAGAGAGGATGAATGAGTACTTACCACTCCATATCTAGATATGTAGTCGCCTTTGTTAGAGAGCGTCTTACCCTCTAACTTGGGACTTCACAGCTCGAACGGGCTTCCTGGACACTGGGTGGGAACCAAAAAAGAACTAACTAATAGTATTTGTCATTGTGGAACAGAAAGAAAGAGATCATACGAAAGAAGCTAAAAGGAAAACGGAGGAAATGAAATCCAAGATGCAGTGGCTTCGAATGCAGAAAAGGGATCTAGAGAGCAGGATCATGGAAATGAGATCAACAATCTCTTCTCTTAAAGATGAACAAAGAATAATCGAAGTATCTCTTGAAGAAAAACAGTATGAAATCAAGATGCTTAGAGAAAAACTTACAGAAATGAACGCGGAGGAGTACCAGGCTAAGCTTTCTTCTGAATCATTGCAACTGAATGAAACCGAAAGTGACATACCTGTAAAGGTCTGGTCAGTGAGTGCAGATGATCCATCAAATCCAGCTATTAACTTCACCATCAAGGCTGCAGGTACAAAAGAAGCAACTGGAGGAGAAACCGAAGAACTGCATGAATCCATCAAAAGAAACAACCAGAAAAGTTCAATAGAAAATATACATCGAAATACCACGAGGCAAGGTGAAGACAGAGAACAAGCACAAGATGGAGAGGGATCTGCTGACTGGAGGAGCAATACTGGAGAACAGGAGTTGACAACTGCTCAAGAAGATGTTTCAGACAACATAAAAAGCAGCACTGTTTTTCAGAATTTAGATGGCGAAAGAGAGACCACTGACAGTTCTAAAACTGGAGAAATTTTCCTGGAAGAGAAAAGGTACGATAATGGGGATTCATCTGCGGAAACTATCAATCATAGTGGTCGAGTGCAAAAGCACATCAAGGAAGTAGGTGCAGTAGATACCACAGATTGGGAAAAGCATGGAGCAGCAACTGGAGGTGATTTTGTGGATTCTCAAGGTAATAACGAGGAGTCTGAACAGAAGTATAAAGATGGGATGAAGTTAGAAATGAAGGAGAATCACAAGAATACAGATGCATCAAGAGTGAAGCAGGAGCAGATGAGAAAGACAAAAGGGAAGAGTCAGCATATCATTGCAAAGAGCAAGGTTACTGAAAGTGGTGCAAATACTGAAAAAAGAAGCGTTGTAAGCATGAGAAACAGAAAGTTCTTCAAAGAAATACAGGAAAGTGCAACAAATGAGAGAGTTGGAGGCAGTAAACAAGAGAAGCAGAAGCAGAAGCAAGAGAAGAGTATGAAAACGGACAGCAGGAACAAATACGGTCCAGAAGATCACATGATTGGCATGACCTATAAACCGCAACGATTTAAAAATCTGGAGGAAGGTTTTGGATACCAAGTCAGGTCTGAACCAGAACAGAAACTTGATATGACGAGACATAGAATGCAAGATGATAATTCAAACCTCGATGATGGTCCACCACATAAGACAGCGCATAAGAAATCAGCAGGCACCAAAGAAGGTATCCTAGAAGGCAGGAAACCTGACACGAATGAGATAGCTGAGGAAGAGCAAGAAAGAGAAGTCAACAACACGGAATCTGAGATGTCACAGAGTTCTCAGGAAGTGCCTACAAAGAGAGCTCCTTCTAATGACAACAGAGTTTCAAAAGACACCAGAAACAAAGAATCTGATGAAACTACACAATCACAAGAGGCAATTGGCATAACCAGAGAACATCAAGAACAAGAACAGGCTGACAGTCTTGCCAATTCTTCGGAGCATGCAAATATTTCTGATAGAGGTGTAAATGCATATGACCTTCAGGTTGAGAATGATCAAGAAACAGGAGTGATAGACCATTCAAAAGGAATTTCACAAGAGGTCAGATATCAAAAACTCAGCAGCACAGCACGAGCAGAAGAGGAAAACAACACCATTTTTACAGACACAGAACAAAGACTGGCTGGCAATCTTCACAGCTCTTCCACACATGTGAAAAATGCTGAAATGGCCTTTAAAGATGGCAACCTTGACACTGAAAATGATAAGGAAACAGAAGAAGAAGATCATTCTGAAGGCTCTGTTGCCAATATGGAAGAGGAGGGAGAAGACGTGAACTGAAACAGATGTGTCTGAATTGTAGTATAGACAGTTGTCTAACAGAACGCTAAATGTTTGCTTCATTTGGATGCAAGATGATTATGTTTCTATTTTAGTTTGATGCAAGACATATACTTGCGTCTTTGTTAGCCTGTAACAGTTGCAATTTGTTGCTTCGATTTGCTAATCACTTCCATTTCTCTTTAACAGCCCCTGTTCCCCCACAAAATTCCTCATGCCTACGATACAAGAATATTGCGGAAGTAACACAGAAAAGAATAATGGGGGTGATAAGGGCAAATAAGAAGTAGCCTCATCAAAACAGTTGGTATGATTTCATCGAGAAATCATGCTTTCTACCATCCAGACATGGTAATGATACTAATGGGTTAATCGGGTGTGCTTATGAATGTTCAATGACTGATTAAGTTTGAAATACACAATTGTTTGATGACATCTTCATTAACACAACTCTCAGTGGCATTGAGACTTACTGCATGTGCAGAGCTTCTACAAATTATGGTGCGCGGATCTTCAGATTAATGTGAATACAATTTCCACACAACTGATCAAGATGACAATGAACCTTAGAAAGCAAACTGACAAAAACCAGTTTCATTTATCATAGTATACAAAAGAAAAAGTATATTGCAGTATTGATGCAACCAACTTTTGTCCACCATTTAGTAGCTCACAGGCTCTCT